ATCTTGTACTGGACTTCATAGGTTTTTGTTTTCAGGGTTCCAGAGGCCTGGATGCAAAAAGGGTTCCGGGTAGAAGCACTCAGGACGGCTTCGTGCTTTTTGCTCTAGGATTCAGGACTGATAACCTAGGCTAGGATTGCGGGTATATGAACATATAGTTAGATGAGAAGTCTAGCGGGCGTTATCTTTCCTACTTGTGCGGACCCCGACACGTCTCGCTTTTCGTTTTCGGGACATTGGGATTTGAGGCTTAGGGCTCTAGGGTCTGGGTTACTTGGTGTTGAATGTTGAACTGCTTCGGATTTAAAGCCTGTTTGGGTCAAGGGCTTTTAGCTTTGCCGCGTCAAGGGTTGAGGGAACCAGGATGTTGCAGAAGAATAAAGCTTGTTATTTGTTATGGAGCCCTTAGAGTCTTCGAGAGCTGTTATCGAACCCTTCAGGAATCCCTAGTCTATAGTTAAGGAATCCCTAGTCTATAGTAAGGAATCCCTAGTCTGTAGTTAAGGAATCCCTAGTCTATAGTTCTTAAGACTCGTGTTTGAGTTCCCGTCTTCTCAGAGGGGTCAGAGGCGCCTCTCCCGGAGAGGCGCTTCCGTCGTTGAGCTGGCCTTGCAAGCCTTCGCTGGCCTGCAGGCTCGAGGGGTTTTTGAGGGTTTAGGATTCTGAACTCTTGAGGAGTGAGCACTTTAAGAAGAGTCTCTTCAGAAGGCGTTCCATGCAGGGCTTCTTGGCAGTTTCGCCTTATGAGTCTGGGCAGGATGAACGGAACTTCCTGCTGCTTGCTCTAAAGGGTTTTTTCTGCACTTCCATGTTCAGAGTCCAGGCGCTCTTTGCTTTCAGCAAGGTTGGAAAAGTTCATAGAATCAGATACACCCACAACCTTATTCTGAAATATACAACCCTAAACCCTAACTCCTTGCGCTTCGACTTCCCGGGCTAGGATTTTAGTCGGAGGCGTGGTGAAGATCCTGGGCTAAGGCGGCCAAGTGACCGGAGCATCAACTTACTGCAAGTACTGCTTACTACTGCTACTGCTACTGCTACTATTACTACTCCTACTGCTACTGCTACTACTACTACTACTACTACTACTACTACTACTACTACTGCTACTACTACTACTACTACTGCTACTGCTACTACTACTACTACTACTACTACTACTACTACTACTACTACGAGTGACAAAACTACTGGAAGACATTCTCAGGAGAAAGCGTCACCAGTAAGAACGAATCGCTCCATTAAGAACCCAGCAACAAGTCTGCTAAAAAGCCTCAGGCCTCAGGCTTTAAGTTTCGACAACTTTGCAGAGCCCTGGACCTTGCGACCCTCAGCCGTACATTAGGCTCATGCCCAGACTGAGCAGAAGAACTCCTCTCGAAACCCTAAACACAAGGAGATAAATAATGACAGGGACCTGCTGCTTCGGAGGCGCTTTCCCGTAGAGTGCAGGAGTTCAAGATTCAGCATGTATAGGGTTTAGGGATTGGAATCTTAGGGTTTCGGTCTTTCGCGTGTCCGATTCAGGGTATAGGATCTTTGGCTTGTGCATTTAGTGTTTTGGGCTTGGGATTTTCGGGTACAGATTTGAGGGGTGCAGGGCTCAGAAAGTCTTAGGTGGGCGGTTCTGTAAGATGATAGGGTCAGTGTTGAATGGGGGAATGGGATGCGGTGATAATCGGGAGCTCCAAGCGACTAGAAAGACCGGAAGATAATGCAGAGGATAGAGTGTTTAGGAATAGCGTCGCTTTTGGTCCCTACGTCACGGAACTTTCTTTCGCAACCTAGAGCCGTTTTGGGTATTGCAAGGTTCAACTGCTGGGGGCTTTTGAGTCCCATGGTCCGTACCGTGAAATCCAAGAATCTCTACCCTTGCTGGCCTTGAACATCAGGCCTGGGCCCGACACCTTACTACTATTTGCTTCAGAAACACCCAAAAAATAAAAATAATAATCACTATATTACCCCCATAAGGAACATTTTTTTTATTTTTGGGGGTTCTTAAGCAAATAGTGGCTTAGGTCCCCTATTTTCGGAAACTCCCATATAGGGGGCGTTAATGGTTAGAATAGGGTTCCTTTAGAGGTCCTTTAAAGGGTTCTACCTATAGTCTCCATTGTAGTTCCTGTTTTTGGTTCACCAGTTTTATGGTTCGGATCCTATAATAGAGTTTTTGGTTAACCAAAAAAAGGAACTACAATGGAGACTATAGGTAGACCCCCTAAACCAGACCCCCTAAACCCTAAACCCTATCGGTTTGAAACTTCCATGCCTTCAGATGTTCAACCAAGTACCCTGCAATGCGGGCTTCGTCCTCGCCAAGTAGGAGGGAAAAAACCCTAACCGTTGCCATCAATGCAGGCAGTGGCCGAGTGAAAAATGCGGGCAGTGACTTGATCGGGATGGCGTGCAAAGGGGGCTCACCACTGCAGGAAGCAATCTGAGTGGCTCCAAGCACCCATTACGTACTTTGGTAAGCCTAGACCCCGCGAGGTCCCCTTCTTCACACGATGCCCCAATCAGAGCCCAAACGTATTCCTGCTTGTTGATCGCTCTGCCTAGCTTAAGAAAAATTTGATGTGGAGCCCCCACTGATTGCCTCGAGTGGATTTTCTAGCATATGAAAACTCCAGGTCTCATCTGCACTGCCCAGAGCTTCATGCAGACCCCTGATTACATACTGTAGCTACCCTGCCCCTAGCCGAGTGCTCTAAAGAGGAATATGGGAGTTTCCGAAAATAGGGGACCCTAACATAGTATCCTCAATAATTTAGTAGGATCCTTATTATACGGACTCCCAAGTAAGGTACCCCGAAACTCCCGTATGGTCATGACCCGTGACAGGTTCCTGATGTCTGCTAGTCGGGCGAAACCGAAACCCAGAGCGCAGGCTTCGCAACGGGGTGTACTTTCGAAGCTGTCCCCACCCAGTAAGGGTGACTATAAGGATTATTTGAGGGCCCTATTATATTCCTATGATACCACTATAACAGGGTGGGGGCCCCTTCTAGGTGTACTGGCAGTTGGGAGGGGAGAAGTTTCTGAGGCTTGTAAAGTTAGTGGCTGGGTAGGTAACCTTTAACCTTTCGGGGCTTAGATAATGAGCATTGCGGATCTCAGGGTTTGGTACTGTTTGCTTTTAGGTGGATTGCAAGTTCTGGCGACACCACGCAGACAGAGTCATGTAGATGGAGCAGCGTGTGGGAAAGTGTCTTGAAGGATTACGAAGGGCTGAAGATGGCGCTTGCGCTCAGATTGCTGCAATATCGATTGGTGACTCCAGGGTCAGCAAGACAGCTCACGTGCTAACAATCTAGGAGACTGCTTGGTGAGCGATTCATCGGTGTCCAGATTTCATGGAAGCCCTAGATGTGGTGTTGCATTGGACCCCGGTCACAAGTTTCACGCGATGCTCTCGCTCGGCAGTGCGAGTTCCCCCGCCGTACGATGACGGAACCGATGCTTAATGGTATGCTTGAAGGGCGCATCAGCTTTCCGATCCTGGCCTCATAAATGCACTTATCTGCGGTTGCTTGGATCAGCCTTGATAGGTAGTGAACTCTTAGATGATTCCGCCTGCTACAATGCGAGAACTATAGAACCCTGTTCATCTAGGCGCCTGCTCTTGCATGCGCATGCCGAAGTATATGTTGGCTCCCTTGGGCCTTGGTAGCATGCCTTGTAGTCCGTACTTAGTTATACTCTTAGCCCAGACTCCCGAATCTAGATTCAGCCCTGCGCGCTGCACCTGAAGAAAAGGGTGCTGCTAATGACCTGTTTCGATTAGCCGTCGGTAGGTGTAGGGCTGCATGAGGTGTATGCAGAGCTGTTGGGCAAAAAAGCCTTAAATCAATCCTATTCCCCAAATCCCAGCCTCTCATGCCCGTTGAGATTGGACGATGTAAGTCTAAGTTTTTAATAGTTTTTACCCTCAGGCATGCTAGGCATCACTAAGGTCGGCGTACTTAGCCATGCATTTATAGTTCATTCGCATGAAAGATTGCTAATCCTAATTTTAAGGCACCTGCATTCACCCCGATCCCTGAACCACGCAAGTAGCCACCACTTCGATTCGGTCTCGCTCTGCCTCTGCTACCGCTTAGGGCCAGAACCCTTCATCCCGGTGCATCGAAGCGAAGCGGATAAAAGATTGTGCCCTACCAAACGGATAATATTCCTCTTGCTGTTCCTTAAACTTCTTCCTGAAGCTTTTGTTGACTTAACTTTGGTTTTTGATTCAGGCATAGTTGGCCCGTCTGTGTCTTGCGAGGTTTGATTCACAGCATGATAGAGCTTGCTCTTCAAGATCTGTTGATCTTCTTCGGTGCGATGTGACCTTGTTTTTTTCAAAAGTCCGTTGCGGCAGTACCATCTCTCTGTAAAACCCAAAGGTTTTGAAGCCGTTCTTGAAACGTCATCTGTTGAAGCACAGATTTCACATGGGCACCCGAGGCTACTGGACAGGCGAGGCATCCTTCTCTCTTCAGCATGCATCAGATGCCTCTTCACCTTGCGCCACCTTCCGCCTTCTCTGTTTGTGTTTCTTCTACATGATTGTTGTTCTTGCTGTTTCTGGAGGTGTTGGGGTTAGGTTCGAGGTGCTGGGTTTAGCTGCTATCATGTAGGATGCAGGTTCAAATCCCCAAGTTGTGTGTTTGTTGTCATGTCTCAGCCTTTCCCTTAGTTTGTTCAGGCGTTCCAGCCTAAGGGTGAGGGCGCGTTCATTCTCTCCACACTGGGGCAGACTTGAGGGCTGAACGGATGTGGTAAGTACGATGATATAGGTTGGCTGCCCATGCTGGGGTGATTGCATTTGTGAAGAAACTTCCTGGCACGTAGCTCCTTAGACCTTCGTGCTTGCAAAGTCTCCTCATCCTAATTTTAGCGACTTGCTGCGCCTCCCCTGATCCTTCAGGTTTTCTAAATCTCGTTAGGCCGTAAACCCTGATCCTTTTGAGTATGCTTCAGCTCGGCTACGGCTTCCGGGGGTCGCTGAGGACGACGCCCTCTGCATCCCGCTTGAAGCGCCCGGCACTTGGTCTCGTGGCATGGGCGAATTCAGGGAAGACACCTCCCAACTTTAAATCGCAGCAAGAAGACCAAGCAGAATAAAGCCAGGTTGCGAAGAAAAGCATGCAGCATACTGTTAAATCAGGACAGCATTGACAATCGTAATGATACGAAGAGGCACACGACGAACAAGCATAAGGATAAGCCTTTCAGAGCCTCAAGTAAAACATGCGTGTTGCATCAGCTTGACGTGGACATGGCTCGCTTAAACCCTAAACTGCTAACGGCTAATTATTGTATATTGCACACGGTGTACAGACGCGAGGGCTTCAAGTTGAATTACCCGCAAGCTCTCTTTGTCTCTGTCTCTCTCTCTCTCTCTCTCTCTCTCTCTCTCTCTCTCTGTCTATCAATCTATAGTAGATCATCTCATCCAATATAATATGCACATGTGTACATATATATATATATATATGCGATGCACATCAAAACGTCGACCTGGAAAAGCAGCGCTCCTTCTTGAAGGCCTCGAGATCAGGATCCCCCTTTGTATCCGTGTTGTTCGAGGAGGGTCCAGTAGTCAGAGGGGTCCAAAGTACTGTTATCGGGGATGCTTCCCCAAATCATAATAGTAATTCCTAATATAGGAACCCTACATTCTACCATAAAGGTACTTTGGACCCTTTGGGGTAGTCAGAGGGGTCTGGATAGTTGCAAATAGTGGTTTCTATGTGCTTCCTCTAATCCTCGCAGAAGTATCCTGTGGCAATATAGCCTTCTACTTATTGGAAGCCTCTTATATAAGATGAGCCCTGCAAAATCTCACCCCTAAACCGTGGAAAGTGGAGAGAACGCATGAGGTGCTGAGACTGATCGGGTGAGTTCGAGGTCCGGCAGAGGGGGGGTCCATGATTTACGATTCAGGGCTCAGGATTTTTGGATGCCAGAGTATAGGGTCGAAAGGTTAAGAGACTGGTTGCAGTAAGGGTGTTTTCGGGTTTGGTGCAAGGCAAAACAATTCAACCACCGGATGCTGCGCTGTAACTTTTTCTTCCGACGAGCCCTGAACACGCGATCATGCGCCTAAGCCTGAAACCCAGGCGCGTGCGGACCGAGTCTCGGGAGCCGGCGGGCGACAAGGCCATTTTCTTAGGGGTTTTAGGGAAGGTGGTTTAAGCTAGACTCTAAACCCTAAACCCTTAAACCGCAGCTAGACGCCGACTACCCTTAAGGGCTTCTCGAGTCAGTGACAATAATCGGGTTTGCATGGGACGGGCTTGTGAGCTTCTGCGAATTTACCGGCAAGCTCCCGAACAAATAGAACTCTAAGCCGAGACAGCTGAAAGCTTCCGCAAACTGACTATAGTCTATATCTATATCTATATCTATATGCATATATAAATATATGTATAAATAAATAGATAAATATATAATATATATACATATATATATATATATATACATATATATATATATAGAATCTGAACTAAACCCTGAGCCGCAAACCCTCCGCGCTGTAAGTCTCAGCCCTAGAGCCCTGAAAGCATTCGACGATACCACATGCCTCCATCCCTTAAATCCCTAAGCCCCTTAACCCTTCAACTCCATACCCTTAAATCCTTGAGCCCAAAAACTGAGGGCCTTGCAGCGCCTGAGAAGGAGGCCTCACCACGGAGCCCGGAAGAGCAGCGAGACGGGTCGTTGTCACCGCCGGATCCCTAAAAAGCGATGCTTACGACTGCATTGGGCTAATGAGTGGGTATGGGATTTGCTGAGGTTTTGGGGCCCATGTATGGAAGGTTGAAGATGAGATTTTGATTTGGGCCGTTGACGTGTATGGTTGGACATGAGGTTGGTATATGAGGTTCGTTTTTCTCTATATCGCCTGTTTTGATTGCTCGGCTCCAGTTCCTGTTAAAATGTCGGGCATCCGTGATGTTTACCAAGCCGCTACAAGCCCCCACACATACAGGACGCGTTTCGGTGTACTACCGGCTAGAGTTTCCATGATATATAGTTTAGAAGGAGCCCCCACCCTGTAATAGTGGTATAATAGGAATATAATAGGGCCCACATTATTAAAATTATTGAATTCGGGCCGGGCCCTAATATAATCCTTATAATTACTATCACAGGGTGGGGGCAGCTTCCAATATGTAGTCAAAAAGTTGTGAATCTCCTTACATGAAAGTAAGCCACATATTGTCACGCAAAGCGGCAACTTTCCCTTTTTAGCTCACAGTCCAATATCCAGGCCCACAGCCCTAAGCCTCTAACCCCTAGGCGTCCAAACCCTGAAGCCCTTATGTAGTGGCCTTCAAAGCTGGTAGAGGGTTTTGGAGATTACTGCAGAAGTACCAGTAGAACAAAACATGTAATGGACCGGAAGGGGACTTTATTGCCACTAATTCGGACCCGGACCTCTTCGTTAATGCCTGAGCCCTGAGTTCGAACTCCGTTCGAGGCTCTCCAGTGTCCACCGCGCCCGGGCGTGCTCGATCAAGGGGCACCACTACAAGTGCCGATCCCAGGAAGCCCTGTGTTGAAAGTTCAGGATCTATAAGGTCCAGTTTTGGGGGTTCTGGGTTTGTTTGTAGGAGTGTTGACCCTGAACGTCAAGTGCAAAGGCTCAGACCCAACACAATGAGCCGCTGAAGCTGCAACTTCGAAGTTTTCAACCTCAAGCCCGCAAGCCTCAACGCCCCAAACCTTTCACCGCCGTCCCCGCGCCCCGGACGTCCCGATCCCCACTGCCAAGAAAACTAGACAAGTAGTGTTTATACCCTAGACAGCGGATGTGCAATCTTGCTATAATTCGGCAGTAACATTGATCATCAAGTGCAGCCCGCATGACAACCTTGGTAGCCCTGCTGCCGACCCAGACTGTAGGTGTTGTGCTCGAAGAGGAGCAAACGAATCGCACATGACCCTTTGTCAAAAATGAATGCATTCTGCTAAGTCTATGAAGCGAGAATGCAATTCAGAATCCTAGGAACCGCTCCTTGGCGAGCGCCGGTCTTTGGCGAGACATGCCCGTCTTCACGCCATGGGGTTGCCTCGAGAGCTTGCCGGGAAGCCCGATTGTTGGAGATCGCCTCCAGGGTATTGCTGTATGGAGTACCCAGAACCCTAAACTCCTTCGGGGATCATCCGATAAAATTGGAACGATACAGAGAAGATTAGCATGGCCCCTGCGCAAGGATGACACGCACAAATCGGAATCGAGAAGTGTACCAAGTTCTTTATGTGTTGAAATAACTTGTTGATGAAAGCGTCGTGACGAAGCCTCTTAGTGTCGTTTCACTTTGCGGACTCCGAACCATATGCCTCGCCTGGATTGTCCGAGTGTGAGCGCCGAAACTCCTAAACGCCTGGTATTATGGAGTACCCTGAACCTCCTAAAACCCTGACTGCAGCCATCTACGAGTTTTATGGGTTACCCCATCCTTAAGTATTGTTTGGGCTTTTTCAGAGCTTTCAGAAGAGCTTGTGATGAGGGCTGCGGGGCCTTGGCATGTATGGTTTAGGTTTCATGAGTTTAAGTGTAGTCGGGCCAGGTTCAGGGATTTCGTGGTGTCAGCGTGTTGCTGCCGCGGCTTCGGGCTTGCAGTTTGGTGCTGCGATTTTGCATGACTGTCACGGCTGCGCGTCAGAAACTTTCTTTTAAGGCTTGCAGCTACTGTAGGTTTAGATAAGTAAGTGTGTGTGTGTGTGAGATGTGTGTGTGTGTGTGTGTGTGTGAGATATTATGTGTGTGTGTGCGCGCGTGTGTTTGTTTGTATTACGTGTGCGACCGCAGGGTTCGCATCAGACTCCTCAAACATGCAAATGATATTGCAGAGTTGAAGTTTGATTGGCCTACAGTCTTAAATGAAAGCTTGTGTTTTATGGGCCTCTTACGTGACCACTTAGTATATTGATATTTTCTAGGCGCAGTGCGTCAGAAATCGAGATGTTTAAGTGTTAAAGGAATCCCAGCTTTCGCGTTGCGTTTGCATTGCGATCTGGGCGTAGGCTGCGCGCTTTGGACATCGGAATCGGTCCATGAAGAAGACACTCATGATGGGAACGATAGCGTGGTGATGATCTCAACGACCCGGGTGATATAAGATGGAGATGTTGATGGGAGGTGTATTGAGACTGCAGTCAGGCGGTTAGCTGCTAATGCTTCTGGTTCAGATGCCATTTGTGATGTTGTTGAGTGTGGCAATGACACAAATGATGCCGATGATTAAGATGATGCTGCTGATGCTAGAGGTGTTAGTGACGATCACATTGGTGGTGGTCGGCAAGTTGTCCTCCTGTCTGCGATGCGCTGGTTGTGATTGAAAGGTGGGTTTACCGACGGCGATAACAGCAATCAAATAAAACAAGCAAGTGTTGTATTGATGGTGTAGCTGCGTGAGTTTGATTGTTTTGTTCGGTTGGTGCAAGAACCAAGCCCCAATACAACCTGCCAAATCCGAAAGCACCAAGCACTAGGAACCCTAAAACATGAACCCTAACTAGCCGCAGAACACCATCCAAAACCCTCAACTCTAAGAATTTCGAAGAGCCCTAACCTCTTCGAGCCCTGCAATGCCTCCGCCTCTGGAAGGCATCAGCCAAGTCTGAGTTGCGCAACTGCCAGGGTGGGGCTCCAAGAGATCTGGGGATTCTCAACAAGCGTTTTCATAAAGGTCCTGGTCCTACGTAGGTTGTTTTAATGGCTTGTTTCGTTGTGTGAGGAATATGTGTTTTTACCTGTAGTTGCAGTGTTCGGGTCTTTATGGGGGGTTGGCGTTTTGTTGCAAGCGCCGCATCGCCTTTACAACGGTTTCAGGCTCCTTATAAAGCCTGTAGTAGGGTTTGCGGGTTCAGCAAAGCTGGTTGCTCTTACACAGGTCTAGGCCCGCCTATATTCGGGATCATGTTTGGGGATTGCCAAGCCCGGCTCTCGTTCTAGCGCAGGGTGTCAGGAAATTCAGTAGCAAGTTATGGGTTCGTCTGGATTCTGGTCGGGGTGCAAGGTTAAGAGGGCGTTATTTGTGGGAGAGGGGGATGGGGGGTGTTGGAAGGTAGGCTTCCCTCTAGCATAATTGTGGTTGAAGAGGGGTCCGCTATAAGGCTGCCTATACTCCCCTGACGTCAGTCTCCCTTTGACGTTGTCGTTCTATGCGTTTACAAACTGTAAGGGTGCCTAAGGGTGATCATCAGTTAGAGCAGGCGCAACTACATTCCCTTTGGGATTCTATAATTTCTGGTGCAGCACTGAGTTGAGGGGTTTGCTTAGGGCGCGCTCTGTTTGGAATCTGGCGCGGTCCACTCCAGAGCTTCTTCGGTTGTTCTCAGAGCCGAAACCATGCACAAATCCAAGAAATCCAGCCCGCCCCCCGCCGGTGGCAAAAAGGTAGCTCGGACGACGTCCCGATCCGTCCTGCCCCAAGACATGTGTCTCTTCGATTGTTCTTGAAGTTTCTGGCTTTCCAGGCCTCACAGCTTATGGCCATTGTCGCATACGTTTGTTGAACTCATGGGAAAGCTGAAATAGAGAGGCTGTTGCTTACGCGTAGACTGGAGTCTTAGCATTCCTTGCTTGCTGACCATCGTGCCTTGAGGCTGCCAGGCCTACATCGGACATGGTTCCGATTTAAGAGCCAGGTGTAGCTGGCACTGGCTTCCATGTACAACAGCAACTTTATCTTCTCATTCTTTGTCTCGTGAGAGCTTGTCTGTCCAGCCTGTAGTTTCACGTTCGTTCTGATTCTGGGTGTGCTTAACATCAACAGAATCAACACTAACTATACTCTCAACCTGAAGCATCCCCAAGCCCTATACCCGCAACACCCCTCGACCCTAAGTTCCTCCATCCAGTTGATTCTGCTCCAGGGTTTGGATGTCTTACATTTGGTTAGCAGGGAACGGAAGAATGGTAGTAATAGTAGTTATAAGTTTACCCCATTCCTCCATTCCTTACTAACCAAAGGTAGGAGGGTTCGGATGTTCGAACTCCGGCCCTGGGGCAGCGCAGGGTCACTAGGCAGAGCCGACCTGCCGACCAGAGCAGGGCATGGCGCAGCATAGTCAGGGTTTAGGGTTTAGGGGTTTTGGGGTTTAGGGATTAGGCTTTAGGATTTAGGGTTTAGGGTTGTGACACTGTAAGTATTATTACATGAGGACCTTCAGAACTAGACCTCGGATCATCAGTGGTTCACTTTGCCAAGAGGCTGTTATCTCCCAGCTCACAGTGTAGATCGCCTGAAGGTACGGTTGAGGTTCACATGTTTGGGTTTGGTACATGAGCTTCTGGGTTTGATGGTATAGAGGCTTGGGGTTTAGGACTCCAGATAAGTCAGGGAGATGCGACATTCGGATCTCTCCCAATTCCAATCTAGTCTGAGGAAACGCCAGGACGGCAGCCGGATCCCCCAGTGAGTTGGGACTTGACTTGAGGTTTGGGGTTTGACGTTTATACGGCTTCTTCACGCTTTGGGGGGCTTGCGAGGGGTATGTGGGGAGGATCGTTGTTTTTTTTTTCAGGTTGAGTCTTATGTTTAAGCGGCGGTTGAAGAAGTCATGCTGACAGATGAAACTGGCAGATGAAAGTAAGCACTTGGAGTCTCGGACTAAAGCGTCTGCATAAGTGGACCATGAATACATCTCAGGATAGGTATTCGCATGTTTATGAACTTAACTGTTCGATATACACTTTTAAACTCGAACTAGGGCCAGGTTTTAAAAGTTGCAAGACCAAGATCCACACCTTGACTTGATTGTGCCTTACATGGAACAGCTTCCTCAACTTCACGACAGAGATGACCTCAAGATATTGAGTGCACCGGTTGTCTAGAAGCATGTGTGGGATGATGCAGCAGCAACCCCTGCAAGCGCGATCAAGCGCGGAGCCCATAGATCTCGCGGATGGCTGGCAATTCCTCCTGTTGAGTCCTGGATCCTCAAAGGCCCACCTCGCCATATGCCGAGCGGGAGCCGCGCGATGCAGAGATGAGTCCGAGGACACCGAGGTGTGAGGGCTTTGCTAATTTTGCGTTGTCATAAGGCTATGGTTTTCAGGACTAATTACACGGGTTGCAAAGGGCCTTGTAAGGGTATGATGGGGTTTAGGTAGCGCTTGGAAAGGGTGGTCCAGCTGGTTTGGCTTCGTCAATCTTGTTTAAAAACTGTTCTACAACGATTTTTATGAGGGCGTCTATACAAGAGAGAAAAGTTTACAAGAGGGAACTTAATCGCGGTCCGTTGGGGTTTGGTGAGTTCAGTTAAGTTGCTTGGGTTTAGTTCAGTTTAGCTATTAGTCATGAGCCCTGAGGTTTACTTGCATGCAGCCGTGTTCAGAATGGGAAGGAAGCGGAAGGTCGCTCCATGGCCCTGGTAAGTAGCGGGTTTCGCGTTGTGAAGACTTTAGGTTGTGAGGTTTCCTCCCGCATTCAGAGTTTTCGATTGGGACTAGAAGTTTTTTTATGCCGAAGTAACTCCGGGGGAACAGAAGAAAGGCTCCCTTGACTAACCCCTCGTCCCTACAAAAGGACCTCAGCATCCCACATAAATCCTTTCAAAATCATCATTAAAATCTTAAACGCACCCTCTTTCTTTCCAAGATGGGCCAGCAGAGGCCGGGCTCAGCTCGTGCACACTACCAAGCTGCCATGAGCAGGGAGCCGAGTTCGACGGAGTGGGTGAAGAGACGGGTCCTAACTAGGGGCTTTGTAGGAATGGTTTTTCCGACGTGGTGAGAAAACACATACATAGACATTTACAGATACATGCATGTTTACATACTTAGTCAGTAAAGACGACAGTTTATCGTGGGCTTGAGGTGCTTGTAAATGCAGAGCTTTCCGGGATTCAGCAAGGACTGCTTGCTTGGGGCTGTAGGGATCTATATCATGGCTGGTTCAGGCTGCTGGACCTTTCATGGCATAGGGTCGTAAGTTTCAGGGCTACGGCATTTGAGGTGTTTAGAGCCCAGGCTTGAGCCCCAAATGCTCCAACCGTCAGCAGTGACTCAAAACCGACAAAGCATGTAATGCCCAAGCCGTACCTCCAGGGACCCGGCCCACAGGCCATTCCCAGGCTTTCGAGCCTGGAGAAAAGGTGTCATTCAATACCAACCACCTCATGCGTCCCCTGCACCTTCCGAGTCTCTCATGGTGACTGCTTGGCCATGACCCAGGAGCAGTTGCACGGCTTCTGCCCCAAGCAGGTCAACCTGTGTCTATTGTAGCAAAGTTCATGAAATGGCTTGCCAGTGGGTATCATCGTGTTGATAGCACTGCCAAAACTACTAGCGAACACACACATCCATTGGCTTACCGTCAGCAGCAGCAGCATTTTCCGCTGCCGTCCCGCCGAGGTGGCGCAAGTCCCATTGTGGGAAAGACCTGGGGTGTCGGGCTCACTCATGTCCCCGGAGGAGACAGGCTTTTGGATTAAGGGCTTCGCTGGCGCAGGTGGGTGCTTATTGTCTGTTATTCTGTGTTAAGGTTAAATGCTTAAGACGAGTTTAAACTCATGTCCTGGTAGGATCTGCAGGCAAGGCTTGGTTCATGTATGCATACATACATAGGTATTCACATTTGTACATATGTGTGTATCAACAGATGCACATGTATGTAGGTATGTATGTGTGTACACATGTAGGAATTTAAGGGTGTACATTTGTACATATGTGTGCATCTGTGCATACATGCATACAAATATATATATATATATATATATATATATATTTATATATACACACACATACATACATGCATACATACCAGCACGCATACATGTGCACACTTGTGCACACTTATGCATGCATACTTTCGTCACTATAAAGAGCGGAGTACTTGTCGAACCAGTAGTTGTTGCGGGGACCAGACAGCCAGAGGACCGGCAGCCTTGAACAACCTAGCAATACGGGTCATGTCAAGACTGAAGAAGCAATCGCCACTCTAGAGCCGATGCCCTCGTGAGGGGCCTGACTAATCTGTAATCCTGTTTCTGATGGTTTCTTGATCTTTCTAAATATATACAATACTCACCGGAACCCCTATAGTCATTAAGGCCACCCAGTGCAAACTAAACATATGCATGTGTGCATGTGAGTATATATATATATATATATACACACACATCCACATGTATATGCGTTTTTGCTTGTATATGTATATATATATATATATATATATAGATACAGATATAGATATAGATACAGATATAGGTATAGATAGATAGGTCTATGAAGCGCAAATCCCATGAGCCGAGGCACAGAGCCTTCGGAGACCCGAGCTGGCTCTCGGCCTGGGTCCTGGGTGGGACTGCGGACTGTTCCGTTCGTGCTATATTTTTTTTGAAGTAAAAAAGTTTTTATGTTCTAGTTTATGTGCATACAGGAACCCTATATGGAATAATATTACAGGGGTTGCGGTTGAGGAATGTTTAGAGATTTGATGCTTGGCTCTTTGGATGTTAAGTTAAGGGTAGAAGGTGATGTTTTTTTCGGGGGTTCGGTCTTTGGGGCCTCGGGGCTTGGGCTTTGGGCTGCAAGATTTGCCAGTTTATAGGGGCAAAAACCTCTGAACTATGCAATCATGCTTCGTAATTCAGCCGGTCTATCTTCAATCTGCGCAGAGTTTGGGGCTGAGGGTTCTGGGTTGGAGATTCTGTTCAGGGGATGAGGGTGCAGGGTTATGATTTCGGGTAGATTGGGCTCAAAGCGTTGAGGAGTTGAGGTCCAGATGTCCGGGGCGAAACGGCCCGTAGCAGTGATGCCAAGTCCCTGGAAGAGAAAAAGAATTTCGGAAAAAGTGAAACCCCGAGTATGTATACCACGCGCCATAGCATCCTGAGTAGAAGGACATGGCAGTGAGCCCTGTGCACTCCTGGGGTTGCCATGATGTCAGCTGAACTGAGGCCTTCTTCTTGCGTGCGTCCGGTGCTGAGCGGGTGCTCGATCCCTACAGGCATGACACCGTTGATGTCCTCCACCCCTCAAATTTGCTGCTGCCACAGCCGATTCTGCCGGTGCCGCGCCTGCATTCTGGTCGTGCTGCTATGCTATGCTGCTGCAGCTTCTACTCCTGCTTAATCTTGTACTATTCTGGTGTTCATAGTGTGATGTGTTTGTTCTTGTTAGTACACGTCAGGAATTACCAGAAAATACTACAACCACCACTACTCCTACTTCTCCGACTGCCCCTGGCTGCCACTGCTACTGGCACTGCTGTCATTTGTTTACAACTACGACGTCGACCACTACCACTGTCACCGGCAGTATTGCCAGAACAACTTGCACCACCGCTTCTACCACTACTATCACCAGGACCCCTTCTACCACCGCCACTGCTGCCACGTTACTAATTACTAGTTGCTACAACCACACCAAATGCAAAGGCAGCGAAAACGTCTCATCTCAATCTTGAGACGCAGCGGCCGGACTGTTGCTTCTCCCATTTTAGCTCTGGTAGGGAATGGAGGAATGGGGTACAATTACAACTACTATTACTACCATTCTTCCATTCCCTGCTAACCAAAGGTAGGCCGTCCCAGCTCAGGCGCCTCCCCCACTTCTTCTGCCGACGTCGGGCGGCCAAGTGGGCTCAGAGAGGTTCGGGGTTCTTCATGCTGGCGCTACACCCTCAACCCATAAGCTGATCCAACCCCTTTCAGGGCTGAAGGGGCAAACTTGTGCAGTTTCTGCAGCAGGAAACCTTTGAATCCGTCCGGAGTGATACTGAGGCCCCCCCCCCAAAAAAAAAACGCCACAGGCAAACCCGTTAATCCTTCTGGAGTGGCCAAGTGTGAGCGTCAAAATATCCTTCTGGAACACCTCCCCCCCACCACAAAACGCCACAGGCGAACCCTTTAATCCGCCTGAAGTGATATTGAATCAGGTTTCTTTCAACTCCGGGCGGTCCACCTTCTCATCAACTGCAAATCCCCCAAGCATGTACCCTGATTTGTACACCCTGCGATCTCTGAACCCGAGTCCTTCAAGTCGCCTTAGCACCGCAAGCGCGCTTCCAGGGGCTCAGCCGCCTCCATAGCAGCCTGACGAGGCATCTGCCCCCAAAGATTCATTCTGATTGTGAGGTCCCCTGTGTTAGGTGACGACGTGATTGAAAGAAGTTCTGCTAGCTCCTTCTTCGTCGTGAAGGAGTTCTTGGTTGTCATAACACTCTATCTGTAATTCTCGACCTGCGCACGGAAGTAGGCCCTTTGGCAAGACCTGTCATGGGGTTTGAGGTGCAACCCTAAGCCCGAAGACCGCTTGAGTTCCCTTGAGCTTCACCCTGGAGAACGACGAAGGTAGGCATCCAGTTTTGGATGCGCCATGTGTGGGCTTGCATATATACTGAACCCCAGAAAGTTGGAACATGGATTTAGGATGATTAGTGCTAGGCCTCCCTCTACTTTACCTTAGGGGCATGAGGATAACGGTGTTCCAAATTTCTGGCTTCTACTGTAGGGGCTAAACTTCAAGTTTCGATCTCACCGGGTTTGGCCTGGTTCAAACTTCCTGGCGATCCGAAGCCCTCTCTATCGACCGCATCCGAACCCCTGAGGTCCTAGAAACCCCAAAGCCGCAGCAAAAGGGGCCTGTAGCTCGAGATTTTGCAAAGCCTTCGAAAGATACCCATGCTTTGCACGCCGAAAGCTTTGGATCAACAGCCTCCCTCTTTCGGGGCTGTCGGCGTCCGGTGGAGGAGGCTGGATGGAGTATCTGTGTTGCAGGGCTTTTTGGTTGCGGCGGAAGGATGTAAGACCCCCGCCTCCTGTGTAAGCCCTATAGTCCGACAACCCTTCTTCAATTCGAGATTCCAGATTCACGAGATGGAGGCCGAACGCTGAGTCGGGTGTTTTGCCTTTTTACAGGACCCTTCACCTCCGCCCCAGGAGCTCGACTCCTAGGGTTCCAGGGGCCCGCACCCGAGTTTGGGTTATTAAAACCGATGGTTCGACACTTCTACTTGTACGCGTGCAGACCTCGATGTCCTGTGTTCTTACGCAATAGACAAATCCCATTTATGGCACACATGGTCTGTGCTTCATGTCATATACATATGTACGCATGCAAATATCATATACCTACCAGGTCACATCATACCATCATATACCACCCCATTTCATGTTGCAGTTGATTTGCTTCGGTTCGCGATTAAAGTCTTGTTCCAAAGCCCTGAGTCATAAGATCACCGGAGCTAAAGCGTTCGTTGTAACGGCCTAAATAATTACCAGTACTGTTCTGCAAGGCTCCTTGTCCTAATCATAGTTCTCCCGTAGGGTTCCTTATTATACGTGGGTGCACCAGGTGTTACACCACAAGCCACGGAGGACCTTGCCGCACAAGCACGCGCTCTCGGAAAAGGTTCCATGAAAACAAGAAGAACGGCATAGGGAACGACTACCAGATTCCGACACCTCCCATCTCCAATTAATTTTCAGGCCCGGGAACCTCCTTGCATCGAGCACGCAGCCCTGAACTCCAAAGTGAGCTCGGATTGTCTACATCCGCTTTTCATGCAAATACAAGTGCCAAATCGTCCGTGCGTAGTTGAATGTCAAAACCCTGTTCGACATGCTGAGGCGTCCTAGATGCCCCGCGACTTACCAAAGCACCGAACCCTTGAGATCGGCGAAGACAGCAAACCCGCATGAACTGCAAGCCCGCGAAACTATGTAGAAATCCCAACTTCGTCAGGGGGCACGGTGGCCCGTGCATGGGATCGACCTGGTCATGCTGCCACGATCCGGCACTGTCCACTTCTGCAGATGAGGTGAGGGACTTGAACTGCTGCTGGAGCATAAACGAGTGTCACCAGTAAAGTACCTTCTTTTCGTCTTAACATACTCGCAAACAAAGTTCTACAAACAATGATAGGTCTGTAGGGAACTCTTCATGAAGCCGGGCACGATAACTTGAAAATCCTGGGCAGGTCGCCGAAGAATCAACTCGACAAGAATGTCTGCAACCTGAACCCGGAAACCCTTATCATTAAGCAGCTATGCAGAATCTGAAGCCTGGACCATAATATCCTAATGCCCGAACTTGTTACATCCTGAGAGCGACGTCTTCAGTTCGAGCTCCAACACGCGCCCACGGAATGCCCGAAACCCCATTTCTGGCAATTCGACGGCACAGTCCCCTCAACCGAAAGAGCCCCAAGCAAATCCTTTGATTCCTGTTTCTTGCATATGGGTAGTTGTCAAAATTATGGTCCTTTTTTGGGCACCCTAGATTTTTAGGTGCTGTATTATATTAGGGACCCAAAAAAAGGACCCCAATTTTGACAACCACCCATATCGAGCTGCTGCCGCTATCTCGAAGCCAAGGGCCCCAACCAGGCCCCAACAAAGCACCTGAACCCCTCTGGGTTTCAAAGGCAGCTTAGGGCCCAGAGAGGCATAGTTTAGAAGCTGCCTCCACCCTGTAATAGTGGTATAATGGGAATATAATAGGGCCCTAATATAATCCTATATAATCCTTATGGTCACTATTACAGGGTGGGGGCCCCTTCTAAGGCATAGTTGAGGACTTGCGGAGTCGAGGTTGAGGCTTCAGGGGTTCGAGATTTACGGTAGGGTTCGGAGAAGCTGCAGAAGCCCAGCACTTGTGAGCCCCGGCCCCCGCTCTGGAACAAGTCAGACAACGAGCGAAAACTGCTTCGGAAAAGACTCTGTGCCATTATTCGAACGTGAATTTTAGTTTTCAGGGTTTAACTAGTTAGGTTTGCATGACGAAAACACCGGAGTGTAGCAGAAGCCTCTGGCGGATCCACCTCAAAATCACATCGGAGGTCTTGAGATCGTAGCAATCGCAACCCCTGACAGTCCTGCACAGTTGGGTGGAATCAGAACATGGAAACACACGACCTCACGAAACGCTACCTCGCACCTCCAACAAACATGCAGGAGTACGTCCATCCGAGCGGGCCTCCAATGCGCTCCCTGCGATGTTCGGGAGGGTGGAAGAAGAGTCCGACGAAGGTTTGCGGCATTTTGAGGGCTCTAAACCCTAAACCCCAAGCCCCGGTCGAGGTCGTGAGGAAGACAGGGAGGAAGAAGAGTGTGGGGTTCGGACGTAGCTGGCGTTGGCGTAGAAGCCAGGCAGTCTAGCGACTTTAGTGCTCACGAGCTTGAACCCCGGCGAGGCTTTACTGGTTTTGGAGTTTAGAGTGTGAGGCTTGAGGTTCGCAGGGTATAGGATATGGGCTCCTGCTTGAGACCTTGCGGCTGACAAACTGTCAAAGGGGAAAAGGAAGGACCCTTAATGGGGACCCCTACCCTATAATGGGCTATATAATGGGTATGTACTAGCTATATTAAGGGTATATACCTAGGTCATGGAAGTTGAGGCCTGCCGCTGCTCCCGAGAAAAAGTCCTGAAGTGATGGGGGTTCCGACGGGTGTCGAGTGGGTCAGGCTCCTGCCTTGCTTCTTTGGCGGTTCTTGTTTCGCTTACACCGGAGTTTCTTCGTAATCGATGGCCTTATAAAGACATGTTTTGCTTGTTCAGATCTTTTTCCAGAGCCCTAAAGCCTTTGGAACGAAGCCCGGCCGGACGTCGATGATTTTGAATATGGGCAAACCTGCGATTGAGGTCTGGTAATGACAAAGGGTCCTGGGATGCAACCGCGATGAAGAGCTTCGAAGGCTTCAGTGTCCTGGACCCGAAGCCAGGACCCTTCCTCCCAACCGGCTATGCCCCAAGAACCTCGCCTGGCTCGTCCGAGTTTCCCGATCCCCAGGCCCCAAATGTTCTAGAGTGCGGCTTTGATGAGTGTTTTCTGCGGCGCCTCGCACCCATTGCAGTGAGCCAGTAGACTCTCAGTAGACTTTGCTTGGCGGCTTTGGGGGTTTGGGCTTCCGGGTGTAAGATGTAGGGTTTACGTCAGGGAAATGTCGGAGTGACGGGTCTGCAAAGCTAACATACCAAGCCAACGAAATCCGGAATCGCCCTGATCCGAAATCCTGGGCCAACATTTTTCGGTGTTACGAAGATCTTAAGTCTTAGTAAGACTGGTGGGGAACCCCGACTTGAAAGCTAGGCTTGTAAGTAGTAAATGGTTCGTGTTCATGTAAACAGTTCAACTGACTTAAGCTTTGAGCTGGGTAGCGAGGCCAGGAAGCCCTACCCAGAAACCCGGCCCCAACCCCCGACAAACAAACGCACTCAAAACCTAAAACAGGTCCTTCCGGCCCCTCGCCGGCGGAAGTGTGCTCCGTGGCCTGGGTCTCGAAACTCTGTTTCGCTCTAGGCTTTTTGGATAAGTATGGTGGTGCTTCGCCATACATTATTGGAAGCATCGTTGTACTTGTCGTCTGTAGTCGTGCACACATACGCATTTGTATACACACGCAGACAGGCAGGCTGGCTGGCTGGCTGGCTGAGTGAGTGGCTGACTGACTGACTAACTGACTGATAGACAGATAGACAGACAGATAGGCTTACATGTAATCGAATGTACTGTAATGCGGCGAAAATGTAATGTAAGTATGTATGCAGGGAGGGGGAGGGAGAGAGAGAGAGAGAGAGAGAGAGAGAGAGAGAGAGAGAGAGAGAGAGAGAGAGCGAGAGCGAGAGCGAGAGCGAGCGAGAGAGTACTCTGAAAGGCTCTATTTATGGGGGTCCGCTTTTCTCTCATGGCACCTGTAGGAACATCCAACTACCAGTTCTCCTGCCCTTTGCAAGAGCTTCAAGTGCACATGTAGCCTCTAGATGTCAATTTGACCCTCTACCTTTACACGAAACATTAAGCCGAAACACCAGCCTCTACAAGCTTTACATATCGAGGCGCTGCCGATGCGGTGACTGGAGTGGTGCGATCGGTGGCTGAATCGTTAACCCAACAGAGGCCAGTTTTCCTGGGGCTTTACGGGGTTTAACTTCCAACGAATAAGCGGCAAGATTACGCTATCGCTATCGTGCCCCCCTTGAAAAACGATAGATGCACGTACCCCTATAAAGCTGACACTTTGTGTTGAGCACCCCGGATGCTTGTTACACTTTCATTAAGCGTGCTTGAGCCGTATCTATATACTACTTCCAAAAAGAACAGCAAACTGTTAATCTTGACCCCAAGCCCGAAGACCCAACACCCGGGCTCAGGGTTTTCGGACCATGAGCAATACAGTCGAGATGATCGAGGTTCGAGGTCTGGCTAGCGGCTAGTGGGAAAAAGGGACCCCAAGCAACAATAGACCCCTGAGCTCCTCTCCTGGAGGCCCGAAGCCGTGGGCGGAAGCTTGCACAAACGACGGCAGTGAGTCCAAATGTTACAGACGCTAAGCCCTACTAATACTGTAGTGATGATCATCATCGTCATCATCAGCATCATGGAATTTTCCACCATAAAGACCTTCGTTATGTAGGCGCTTTGCGGCTTCGGGGGAATCGGAAAGGACCTCCGGAGCTCTGGAAGACGCCTCTTTGAGCCCAATGCCGCGGCACTCAGCCACGTTCGAGGGGCTGTTTTGGGGTTTGGGTTTGAGCTTCAAGGGCTTAGGGCTTCTAAGGGTTTCGGGCTTAGGGCTCAGGATTTAGGAAATTTATTATAGGGTGTATATTTATGCTTCGGGATTGAGGGCTTAGGGTTTGGAGGGGCTTCAGGGTTCAAGATTGCGCTTGGAGCTTATCGCGAACCCCCAACTACGCATGAATTGTGAAGTTCAGATGCCCAACCGACTTGGAAGGATGATGTGGGGATCGCTACAGTTTATGATTTCGGGCGGTTAAAAGTCAGGTCTGCAATAAGAAGAGCCGGGGGGGGAGGGGCAGTTTCCATCATTCAGATCTTATGGACACAGAGTTCTCAGGGAAGACCAGGATTCCAGTCTCCCGTCTTCGTGGGGCTTCTCGGAGGCAACGGATGCCACACCCAGACCCACTAAACCCTAAACCCTAAACCGACATCTTCTGGTTTGAACGCCCTGCAACGCCGAACTCCTTCCAAATGCAGAAACCTTGATTCTCCTCTTCACATTGACGCCCTTAGGCTTGGTCATCCCTAGACTGGGTTGTGCTTTGGGATAATTTCTAATTTCCCTTATTTCCTTATTAAGGGAACTTATCCTATTCATAAATAATTTTCAAAGGGTTTAAAGCACAACCCAATAGAGTAACCTAAGGTCCAGAGATACACAGGAGAAAGTGATCGACTGAGGAGCTGGTGTCCTTCCCGTCAAGCCTTTAAGGATTAGTAGAGGAGCTCATCCAAACACGCAGCCGCCAATGTAGACTGTATGCAAGGTGTAGGGAGTCAGTAGGGGGAATGGTTCTGATGGGTGTCGCAGAAGATCCTTAGCACTTTGCTTCGTCAGCAACTTCACAAGAGCTACAGCTGCAAAAACCAAAGAAGCAACAGTCGCATCAGTATTGTAGCCCCCCAGGATTTCCTGAGCATGCTGATGCCCATTTTGAATTGAAGTGGTTGGGTTGGGTGCAGTATTTGTAGCGTCGGGTGGTGTGTTGAGTTTAGGGCATTTAGGGCTTACTGTTCGTGGACTTGCCTAATTAGCTTCAGCATAAGTAGCACAAACCATTCTGCTCCCTCCGCTCCCAACACAACAAACTCCTGAAACACAAGCCCTAGACCCTTTGTAGTCATGAATACGCTGCAATTTGATGTGCGACGAAAAGCCCTCTAGCAAAAGCCCTGTGCTCTACAGCGCGCCCGAGGCTGTTAACTATATCGGCTCGAGGGTTTTCATGGTTTACGGTTTAAGGACATCTTAACAGGGTTTCGGGGATATGCTTTACTTCGAGCATGCAGGGAGCGTTTCAGACAAGATTTAGACTCTCCTGGACTGATAACTTGACACCAGTACCCCGATGCAGTGGCGTTTCAGCACATGCCTGAAGGCTCCAGCAAGCCTTTGGGCCCAAAGCCTTAGATGCTGGAGCAACGTGCCAGTGTCCTCGCGCAGCGAGCGCATGTGCACAGCCAGTGTGGGGCCTGGGTGTGTACGAAGAGCATTAACACCGAGGAATATGGTTCTGATTGACTTTCATTCACCGATCCTCAGAAGCATTGAACCGCAATTAACCCTATCAAAACAGACTTGTAAGGCAATGATCATACCCCAGCAACCCCCCCAACGCCCAATTGGTCCTGATGCCCATTGCAACAGCACAAATTTCAAAGTTGGCAGCTCGCAGCATCCGGCTCCGCAGGCAGCACAGGATCACTTGCCAAAATGGCAGGGCACGGCAGCGATCTTCTGTGTAGCTTTCGCCGTTGGAACTGAGGTCTCTGCAACTTTGAATCCTTTGGTCCGTGACTCCCAAACTCCATACGCAAAGCCTCCGAAACCGGTTCATGCAGCAGCCGCTTTGGCCAGCTGTCTTGAAGTACCTGCAAGGCGTAAACAGCGACAAGACGAGGGGTTGGGGTCCGAAACCTTAGGTTTTGTCATTGGGGGTCTATGGTTGGTGGCAATCCATCTGCGCTGCTGTGCAGGTTCCTTGTGTAGCGCATCAGAGAGGTCCTGGCTTCCTTTTAAGAGTTTTGAGCCATTGCAGCTTCGTATCGTAAACCCCTGCATGCAACCGGAAGCTCAGAAGCATGCTGCACACAAGTTCGCAATGAGTGGATGTGAAACATTCCCACTTCGGACAAAAGTCGCTCTACAACAGCTGGGGCATGTGGAAGTTTCAGAAACTTGGTAAGACAGCCTCACACTCTCTAGTTAGATGCACTCAGAAGACATGGCATGCGATTTGCCATCTCAAGTTGGTGTGAACATTTCTTGTCGTTTCTGAAACTCCGTGTCGTGCTCGGACTTCTCCGCCTCACACTGTACCTGAGCTGCTTGAGGTCACTCCATCTGCGACCCGCAGCCCTTAAACTTAAACCCCAGTTGAACCGGAAATCCAACTCCAGTTTCAACGGGAGGCCCCTGGAACTTGTTCCCAGCAATCCAGATCACGAGCACGGAAGCACTGGCTGCGAAGTTGTAGTTGTGCTTGGGCTTTCTGTAGGTTGCTTTGTGCGTGTGCCTACTAGTATATGGGTGGTTGTCAAAATTATGGTCCCTTTCTGGGTCCCTATAAAAATACGGTACCTATTATTCAATGTACCCAAACAGGGACCTCAGTTTTGACAACTACCCATATGAGTGCTATACTGTGACTTTCACCTTGCATTTGCAAACCTCAAGCCGTAGACTTCCACAAGAAAGCAGTCAACAGTGTGTAGAGTGTATAGGGTGTGATGAAGGATATGGGTGGTTGTCAGAATTATGGTCCCTTTTTGGGTCCCGATTATCATACGGCACCTAAAATTTGTGGTACCCAAAACAGGGCCATAATTTTGACAACTACCCATATGTGGTTTGATTTGGGGTTTTGGGCAAACCTCTCCACCCCCGGAAGAGGAAAGCTGTCACGCTGGAAACGGGTGTCTCAAGTTGAAAGCCTGTTTAAGATTAGGGATGATTAGGGTTTGTGGACAAACGAGGACTTAAGTTAGTGACTTGGGATGTAGTTTGATTTGCTTGTGATTGTAGGAGTGACGATGAGTATTGAGCGGGCATCTTCAGACAAATTGGGAAAACTGAGCTGTACGTCGTGCGTGCTAATAAGAAGGTATGACAGCCCATATGGCTGGCGTATTGAAAACGTTGACTTAAATTTCTATATAAGGAGCTTTCGCACCTTATACAGTTTTAGCCCTAGACCTTTTCCGTAATTCTCTCGAGACGCATACTTGAAGCATTTGAGACCATATTATTTCGCAAGCATTTCGGGCTGGCTTGAGCCTTGAGCTCTCGGCTTCAGAAGTGTGGGGTCAGAAGTCTTGAAAGAGACAGCTTCCAGCACCGAGAACCACGTCGTCTGCACCCGCCAACGGAAAATGCCAAGAGCTCTTGAGCCCTACACCGTCAGCCCTACACGTGAGCCGAAGCCCCAAACTTTAATCCCAGAGCCCCAACTCTGAGCCCTGAAGTAAGTGCTCTTTAGGAAACCACCACCAATTGTAATCTTTAGGGCAAGCCCCCTCAATTTGTCCGTGAGTGCTTCCCAACTACCGCAAAGCCCGAAGAACCCTCCAAAGTCACCCTTTCGAGGAATGGGTCGGGTCGGAGCGTGTTGCTTTGACCAAAGCGGGGGGTTTGAGATAGATAGTACTATATATGTATGTATGTACGTATGTGTGTGTGTGTCTATGTATATAAGGCGTAGAAGGTGTGGGATGTAGCTGTGGGTGCGTTGGAAGCGCTGCTGATGCGCAAGCAAGGATTGAGATCGTGAGAAGTCCTGAACCTTACTCCCGGTCCCTTGAAAGCCTGCAGGACGCATGAAGGGGTCGTTGCCGAGTCGTTGCCCATCAAAGCAATATCTTATAGCAACCGAAACAACCTCATAAAGCATCTGTGAAGCAGCATAGCCCCCTAAAACCCCCTACGGGGAACCTTTCATGTCGGAGAACCACCGGTTAAAAAACGTGCTAACCCTGGCGTTACCTCAAATCTTTCCGTTCCCCTTTCTCCGAGCTACCCCAAACTCTAGACACAAACTCAGGCCAAGAAGCCCTGGACCCACAACCCCTGAACCTCCTTAAAGCTCTTAACTTAGCCCCGGACCCCCTAAAATACATGATACCTGTGAATGGTGATGCGTTTCGGACTCACGTGCATTATTGGTGTTGTTAGTATTATTATTCTTGTCACTGGGGGCTTAGAACTAGGTTCAAACCTCAACCCGAGACCCAAACAATAGCTTTGTGTGTGCCTTGGAGAGGCAGCTCGCGGAAACGAGCCCATGGCATGTGGAGGCCGTGGAAGTCTGGGCAGAAAAGGTTGAATGTACCATCTTTGAGGCTTTTCAAACTCTTGAACCCTTAATTCCAAAATCGAGTTCATATTATACTTATTATACATAGAACTGCATAATCTTTCAAATATATAGTGTAATATTATTTTTTGTTGTACCATATTTCTTACATATATGTGTGTATATATATACATACGTACACACACACACACATGTTTTTGTTGCAGGGGCTCGGGGTTTGAGGGTTCGCTCTGTCGAGGGTCTTGTGCTCTTTGAAAAACACCCCTACCTGGATCCTGGCCGGTCGCACCTCTTTTGGATATATATATATATATATATATATATATTGTTATAGGTCCGGGTCCCATAAAGGGAACTCCAGAAAGTTGGAATATGGTTTCAGGGTAGGATACCTTATAATTTACCATAAAGGGTTTAGGATAATCATATTCCAACTTTCTGGCTTTTACTATACTATCTAACCCATGGTATCCAGAAAAGGAACTACAACCAAGGACGTATACGGTATATAATCGTATATACAAATGTCTTGTGCTTAGCCTTATAGTTCTGACACCGTAACTTGGAGGCGGAACTTCGGGGCTCAGTGAGTCGAAAAGACCAGACAGAGCTGTTAGGGGGTTCAGGTTTTCGGCGGATGCAGCGCTCAGGCACTACTGTAGGGGGCTTCAGATCTAGGGTTTGTAGGGCTTCAGATCTAGGGTTTGTAGGGCTTCAGATCTAGGGTTTGTAGGGCTTCAGATCTAGGGTTTAGGGGCTTTCAGCCTTAAGGGTGCCATTCTTGTGCGCGTGGTTTCAAAGCAGAGCCTCCGAGCTTTCACATCCAATAAAGCCCTGCCCCTAAGGGCCCAAGTACCAATATTTACAAACTCCCTCAAATAGTCACCTACATAAAAATTACTATCCGAACTGATCACATGCTCTACCAGAACGCAACCTGGATATCTACTTTGTCCGAAACCCAAGCATCTGATTCAAGGGTCCTTTGGACCCTTGTGGACCCGCAAATTAGTGTTCATAAGTACCTAAGTCTTACCCCTGAGCTCTAAACCCTAACTCCTAACCCTGAACCCATAACCCTGAACCCTAAACCCTAAACGCACAAATCGAGAAGTGTACCAAGAGTGTCAAAAAATCCTGAACCCTAACTCTTGGGTCCTTCGGACCCTTTTCGGCCTCGTCCAAGCCTCAGAGGCCGCCGCGGTGGCCAAGAGCCCACGATCTCCCGTGGAGTCGATGTGTCCTGGCCGCCACGTTGTATAAACTGTTATATAGTATACAATAGAAAAACAAAATGGGAACATGTAGTATCTAATATAATATGATAGCCTAATATATACTCTTATATGGGAGTTTCCGAGAATTAGAGGTACCTTTAAAGGGATCTATAAGGGTTCCTTTAAAGGGATCTATAAGGGTTCCTATAGGGGATCTTAAGGGTTTAGGGTTTGCAAGCATCATGACATGCTTGTGCTGTTGAACACTCACGAGTGACGAGTGCAACAGCTGATTGATAACGAAGCTTTCAGATCAAGTCAGCGGCCAGAGAAAAGTCCGAGCTTCCGCGTGAGCCATAGCCCATCTACTCTCAGAGAGCCCTGATCGAGCTGAACTATTGAGTCGACCCTCACCGTGCGAGTGCTTCCAGCACTTGCATGGTAGCGGAGCCTTCCTCCTGGTCCGGAGGTTGGCTCGAGATCCAGGGACCACGAACTCTTGATTGCGGAGACCATCAAGAGCCAGCATAGTGCTAGCAGCATGAGTGAGGAGCTCACTCGCACACGTGAGGGAGTCCCCGTGTGGAACGGGGATGCAGCTACCTTTGTCTCGTACGCCGAGGCTGCCGAACTGTATGAGCAGACGACAGCCTATCATAAGCGAGCCCTGGTAGCACCGAGGTTGATTTCAGAGCTGCTCGGTCCAGCCAAGCTTTCCTTGTCAGGGTATGAGGCCAGCGCCTTCGCGTATCCTGGGGGTGTGGCAAAGCTACTGGACCACCTGCGTGCCAGTTTGGGACAACCTCGCATTCCGGAGTTGACGGATCACTTACACAAATATTTCCGTCACAGCCGGAGAAAGCCCGGCGAGACCATCAACAGCTATGTGGCCAAGAAGATGGAGGTGTACCTCAGGGCTCAGCAGGCCATGAAGAGACTGCAGCCCATTCACAAGCCGATCGCCACCACGAAGCCACAGGACTGGAACTACCACCGACCAGGTTGGTGGGGCGATTCCTACTGGAGATGGTCCGCATGGGAGCCTTCAGCTCAGTCAGGATGGGGCGACACATCATGGAATACAACGCCCCCCACCCGAGATGGGGCCGCCGCCGAGGGAGACGAACCCTCGGAGGAGGGAAGTACGGAAGCGGACACTGGCCGAAGAGCCAGTTGGTCCAGTGAGACGACGTGGAGAGCATCAACATGGTCGGGATCCAACTACGGAGGGCAGTGGGGCTGGGGCTACACTGCCGGATACGGGTCCGATGACTCGTGGTGGAAGGAACCTCAGCCCATGCCTCAACTACCTGAGTTGATGCCGGACTTCGTACAAGGGTGGATCCTCCTTCAAGACTGTAACCTGGATGCTGGGGAACGCAACCTGGTGATCACAGCCACGGGAGGTGACTTCAGCACTCAGAAGATTATACGCGAGCTCCGAGCCCAGTTTCCCGACTCGGAAGTCAAGCGACGAGAGACCGCGAGGAAACACCATAGCTACTTGGGCGAGAATATGGGCGAGGAGGAGTCGCAAGACTCTTCTCACGAGGACCACGGCTTCATCGCAGAGGAGGAGTTCACCGAGGAGGGCATGGCCCTCTGGTCGGAAGCCGGCGTGGAGGTGGAGTCGGCCATGGCGGCCTTCCAGCAGGCCCGAAGGACCCTCCGGGAAGCCAGAGCGAAACAGCACAACGTTAAGATGAGTCGTCAGTACTACAGAGGTGGCCAAGGTCCGAGGAGCGATGCCAACATGATTTGCTTGAACTGTGGACAGAAAGGCCACAGAGCGAGCAACTGCAAGAATGCACCGAGCAATCCTCCCAAGCGGGACAAGGAATCTGCTCCCTTCGTGTGCTACGCGGAGGAAGCGGAGATCAACAAGCTGCCGGCGCCGGAAGCGCCCATGGTGGGATATGCCAAGGCCTCGGACGAGCAGGCGCCTACCGAGTCCGCCCTGGGAACCGGAGTACCAACGGCGGTGGCGGTACAGCAAGGAAAGTGTGTGGTGGACTCAGGAGCCACACGCTCCATAGGTTCCGTCAAGGCTCTGGAACATCTGATGCGCCGGAACACAGTCGTCTCCGGGGACGCCGGAGTGGAGAAGGTGGATACCACAGATCGACCGACCTTCAACTTCGGGAACTCCAGTGAAGATACATGTTCCTCGACAGTGGAGATGCGACTACGAGCTGGAGAACTTCATGGCAAGTTGCGGATTCACGCTCTCAACGTGGGAGAAGGGCCGATTCTGCTTTCGGTGGCGACGCTGAGAGCCCTAGGAGCTATCATAGATTTTGGCTCAGACCTCATGTGCCTGCGAGAACTTGATTGCCAGAAGTTGATTCAGCTAGAGAGAAGTGCGACAGGACATCAGTTGCTTGATCTGTCTAGGAACCTTTTTGAATCCGCCGCAGAGACTGTACAGGCTGTACCTGGGCTGTCTGATTTTGTGAAGAAGCCAGACGATCAGGTCCCAATCTAGGGACAACTCCTCTCCGACGCCGGTCCTGAGGCGAAAGGAGAGGTTCAGCCAACATCATCAGGACAGGGTTTTCAGGTCAGGGATCTCGCAAGTAGAACTGCTGACCACGTAGGACAATCCGATCCCCCTGTGAAGAGTAAAGTGAGTCTTTCTAAATCCGGTGAAGCTACAACAACACACACTGCTGCAGCCGCCACAAGCTTCGAGCAGACCGCACAACCAGCGTTCTCCAGTCTCCCTTCGACCCTCGATAATCATGCCCGGTTTGACCAACCAGCAGTTGAGGGACAAGATCAAGGAGTTTGGCGAGAATCCGCCAACCCGGTGGAACAAGGCCGAGCTTCAGTTGCGACTGGAGGAGCTGTCAGGACAGAATGCTTTCGTGTCAGCTCGCAAGACTCGCGAGCAGACCGAGTACCAGCGCCTAGTCCAAGGACTCACTCAGGCCTGCAACCGCAAGGCCCAGCTCATCGAGTTCTGTCAGAACAGTCTGGAGATGCGCGTGAATGCCAACTGGACCATGAACGAGATGAAGCGCGAGGCCATGCACAGGATCTACCAGCGCAGTGTGCCGGAACCCACCGATGCTGTGGGATTTGGCAAATGGGCGGCGCTCACCTACGAAGAGGTAAAAATCCATCACCCCGAATATGTACGTTGGGTGGTTCAGACAGCCACCGAGAGTGCCGATTGCGACCCTCGTCTGTTGCGACTGGCAGGGTGGTTGGAGAACAACCCAGCACGAGTGGAAGTGGCAGCCCAGCGGGCTGCGGCAAAGGCGGAGGAGAGCAAGACCCGTCTTGTACCCTCACCTCCAGCATCGGAGTCGAAGGACCGCAAGTCTACGACCTCCAAGGCGAGTTCGGCACGGAGCAGCGCCAGCAGCTCGGACAGCAAGATCGACATGTTGGCGGAGATGGTGGGTGCCCTACGCGAGGAGATTGCGGACCTCAAGAAGGAGCCGCGTCGCAAGAAGGCGGCAGCCGAGGTGGGCGAGACGGACACCGAGATGAGCCAGGAGTCCTACACGATGATTCCGAACAAGACCTCCCCGAAGCCGGTAGCCAAGAGCCCCTAGAAGTTTTCCAAGGGTCTGTTGCTGTGCCGAGTCAGTGCCTTAGTGCTTCGCAGAGGCTCAGTGTGGAGCTTAGTCGAAGTAAGGCCAGGAACTTGGAAAGCGCAGCATGGTCAGTGGTTCCGGGTTTAGTTGAGGGTTTAGTTCGACAAGAGCGACCGGTGTTGTTGGAGATTACGGAAGACTGTAAGAGCTACATGACTGAAGCGGTACGGCAACGGACCGGTAGTATATCAAGTGCTGAACGATGTGCAACCTGGAATGGCTGCGACCTCAGCACCGGAGCCGGAGTGAAGCTGCTTATGCAGCGCATCCGACTTGAACAGCCGCGTCATGTGTGGATCGCCGTACCCAGTCAACCATTCTCCCCATGTCATAGTTTGAAGAAGAAAACTGAAGCACAGCAAGAAGCCTTGTTACAGGAACGACGGGAAGCACACAAGAGGTACGTAGGAGCCAGTTGTGTGGTGCACTTGTGCATTCAGTTGGGGATCCATGTGAGCTGGGTGTGGACGGTTCAGTGCCAGGCCTGGAGACTTCCTGTGATGCAAAGGCTACAGAAGAAGTATGAACTTTACACGGGAGTAGTTCGAGCGTGCGTTTTAGGATTACGACAGCCCCAAACCCAGAAGTTCTATGCCCAAGGTTGGAAGGTCATGACTACTTGTTTCCGTATGAGCCAGTTGTGTGAAGCACCTTGTCGCTGCGGTAAGCAGTATAACCATGCCAGAAGTGAAGGAATAGCGGACGCTCAAAAGGAGGTGTATCCGGAGGCTCTGGCCGAGCGCGTGGTTGGAGCAATGCTTCAGGAACTCAATCACCAGAGCGTGATGACGGAATGCCAGGGCGAAAGCAAGTTACCCGAGGGTTTCGGCATGGGAGAGGTGTGTGAATGTGATGAAGTAGGGATGAAGACCTTGGGGCGCCCATGTGGAATGTGTAGTGGCAGTCATGAGGTTCTGCAATCAACAACCGGGGGACTCAAACAGCCCGATGGTGATCAACAAAATAGCTCGGGTGATGATGAGGATGATGGAATGGATGAAGCTTTCCTGACGAGTGGGAGCTGTCAACGAGTAGAACAAGAAGCCATGAGACTTCAACGAGAACAAGCGTGGGAACACAAAGATTGCGAACAACTCCTGCAGTTACTCCCCCTGAAGCCCATCAAGAAACACCGTAGGATGATAGGAACCGAGCAAGCCAAGTACCTGGTCCTAGGTCTGTACTCCCACGGAAACCACTACGGAGTCACCAAGAACAGTAGAATCCTTCCCCAGACGTGCAAGTATCTGAACGGGTACATGAGGAAGTGGATAGGAAGCGACCTCAAGAATACTTCTATTGTTATCAGCGAGAACAACCGTCTTCCCTTGCACCGAGATTCTCATAACCTGGTTGGTACGCGAAACTACATTATAGGTCTGGGAAAATACCAACAAGGGGGCTTGTGGCTAGAAAGCTGCTTGCCCCCTCCAGAGTCAAAGTGCAGCCGCAAGGTGTTGCCCGACGGGCGCGAAATCAGTGGAACGGTGTGGCCGACGCGACACCGAGTGGTCTCCTTTTCGGGAACGCAGTGGCATGCGACCGAGGCCTGGGAATGGGACAGAACCGCAGTGACCACGTACTGTAGTCGAGGATGCACACGGGTTGACGAAGGGGTTCTTGAGGAGTTGAGAAATTTGGGTTTCCGAGTGCCAAGTAGCAGTGGACAGTATGCGTGTGCAGCGGATGGAGCGACTTCGAGTAGTCAGGGTTTTAGTGCGAGCAAACAGCGACAGGAACGCATCCGTAGACAGCTGTACCTGCTTCATGCTGCCACTGGTCATGGAAGTAAGAAGGTTTTGCTCGATGTGTTAAAGAGAAGGCGGGCTAGCGAAGAGGTTCTTCAGTTGGCCAGGGAATTCCGATGTTCGGTTTGCGAAGAAAAACAACAAGTGGGCAGTAGACATCTAGCGTCATTGGAAGTCCTTCCTCCCAAATGGCATGCTGTGTCTGCTGACATAGGACATTGGACGCACCCAGACACTGGAGAATCTTGCCAGTTCCTGCTCATTATTGACCAAGGAAGTAGATTCCGACAAGCCCGAATCCTTACCCGTGGAAGCAAACAGCAACCAACTGCCGCTGCGTGCTTACAGTACCTCAACGAGGGGTGGAGCCAGATCTTTGGCATGCCCAGAGCCTTACGGCTCGACCCGGCAGGCGCCTTCCGGAGTCAAGAGGTAGAGGCCTTCTGCGATAGGCATGGTGTACACTTAGATTTGATACCAGCGGATGCCCACTGGTCAATCGGAGTATGCGAGCAGGCAGTGAAGGGAGTCAAGGTGCTTATGAGCAAGATTGTGGAGTCCGACCATACCGTGACGTCTGAAGAAGCCTTAAGCCAGGCAGTGCGTATCTTCAATGAGAGAGAGCAGATTCGGGGATACTCCCCAATCCAACATGCTTTTGGAAGAAGCCCCGATGCGACGGGACGACTTGGAGAAGGACCCCAGGAACTTCCAGATGAGCTGTTGGTGGAAAGCGCGACTGCCGACTTTGAGAGAGGACTACAGAGGAGAGCAGCGGCCGAAAAGGCATTAGCTGACTGGCAGGCCAGTCAGCGCTGGAGCCGCGCACTCAACTCCCGCACGAGGCCCGTCCCGGACTACGAACCAGGGGAGCTAGTATACTTCTGGAGGACCCAAGATGGCTCTAAGAGCCGCCGATCCCCAGGGAGTAAACATGGACGCTTTCTGGGTCCAGCTCGAGTGCTCGCTCTGGAGCGAAGGACCGATGAGACTGGTGTTCAAAGGGCTGGTAATGCAATATGGCTCATCCGTGGCAGAAACCTGCTGAAGTGCAGCCCGGAACAACTCCGGAGAGCTTCTCCCCGGGAAGAAATCCTGGAAGGACTGGCCAGTCGCAATGGTGAACCGGAGACACCGTGGACCTACACGAGACTGGCAGATGAGATTGGGGGAAACCGCTACGAAGACCTGACACAAGAAGTGCCGGATGAGCGAGAGTGGGTACGAGCCCAGGATGTGGAGGCGGAAATGGTTCCGCAACGATTCCGAGTCCGCGGCAAGCGCGCGGAGCCGGAGCCTATGGAAGAGCCGCCGGAGCCAGCGGACCTTGGCACTGGCCAAAGCAGTCGACCACGACGTGGACAAGCCGCCTATACACAGCACCCTTCGGAACAGAAGGGACACGCATGGTGGAGCGAGGTGGCCGACGAGTGTTGGCCACAGACGAGCAGCTACTGGAGGGAATCACATGAGGCAGTCGAGATTGAGATTCCAATGCCGGAGTCCAAGCGTGGCGTTCAGGACGTATGCAACAATCTTCAGGCCTACTTTGTGGGGAACCTCAAGAGGCGTGCCATTGAGGTCTCGGAGAAGAGGTTGTCGGAGGCAGAACGGGAGGAGTTCCGCCAGGCCAAAGGCATTGAGGTCAAGAACTTCATTGCTGCAGAGGCCTTTGAGGCCTTGCCCGAGGAGTTAAAACCCTCACGAGACCAAGCGATTTCCATGCGGTGGATCCTGACGTGGAAGTTGAAGGACGACGGCACGACAAAGGCGAAGGCCAGGGCTGTCTTATTAGGGTATCAAGACCCGGGATATGAACATCGTGCTACAACGGCTCCGGTTATGACGAGGCAGACGAGACAACTTATGTTGCAAGCAGCGGCCAACAAAGGATGGAAGGTTTATAAAGGAGACGTTTCAGGAGCTTTCTTGCAAGGCAGGGCTTATCCGGACAAGCTTTATTGTATTCCTTGCAAGGAGATTTGCGCTGCAATGGGACTGCCAGAAGGAAGCATTACACGAGTACGTCGAGCATGCTACGGACTGGTTGATGCGCCATTGGAGTGGTATCGAACGGTATCCCAGTTCCTGGAGTCATTGGGCCTCGAACGGCTGTGGAGTGACGCATGCGCCTGGGTGTGGCGTCCCAACAACCAACTAAGAGGCATGGTCTCGGGACATGTAGATGATTTTCTGTTCGGAGGTCGAGAAGATGACCGAGAGTGGCAGGACATCATACGGCGCATAAAAGAGAAGTTCCGTTGGAGCGACTGGGAGTCCGGATGCTTCACACAGTGTGGTGTTCAGATAGAACAGGATGCTGAAGGGTTTACCTTGTCCCAAGAACGTTATGTGAGCGCAATAAAAGAGATTGCCCTGAGCCGTGAGCGGAGGCAGGCTCTGGACGCCCCAACGACGGAGAGGGAGCGTAGTCAGTTGCGCGCACTCCTGGGTGCTCTAAGCTGGCACGGGCAACAGGTTGCACCTCACATTTCGGCCGAGGTAGGATTGCTCTTGTCCGAGGTTAACAGCAGTACTGTGAGAACCATTAGCAAAGCTAATCAGCTTCTGAATTTCGTGCGCATTAGAAAGAACCACAAACTGCGAATACACAAGTTCTTGGAAACTGAGGAGCTTGGAGTTTTTGGTTGGGTAGACGCAGGAAGCCAGAATCGACCTGACGGAGGCAGCACCCAGGGATTGGTCATAGGACTGGCTCCTGTGTCATTGCTGAAGGGTGAGTTAGGCAAAGTGAGCATAGTTTCATGGTCCTCCCACCGTATCGATCGTACGTGTAGGAGCCCAGGAGCAGCAGAGACTCAGGCAGCGGTGAACGGAGAAGACACAGTCTTCTATGTTCGCTACCAGTGGAGTGAAATAATCCACGGTCCCGCTGATGCTCGAGACCCAGAGGGTTGTGCCACTAAGGTCGTAGGGTGTCTGATCTCAGACTCCCGAAACGTCTACGATAAACTGGCCACCGAGGTCTTGAGTATCAAAGGAGCGGAGAAACGCTCCAACCTGGAGTTGTTGAGCTTGAAGGAAGCCCAGCAACGCACAGGGCTCCAGATCCGTTGGGTCCATTCTGAGGCCCAGTTAAGTAATCCACTGACTAAGGCTGGTGGTCCTAAGGAACTGGAGCTCTTTTACCGCATGGGCAATGTTTGGAAGATTGTTGAAGATCCAGACATGTTGTCGGCCAAGCGCCGAAAAGCAAAAGGCCTGGATCCACTCCAGTCCCAGACAGAAGTCAAGCCGCAGCAGCCGCAGCAGCAGCAAGCCGAACTGGACTTAGAAAACGAGTGTGTGTCCATGTTTACTGGGGGATCGGAGGGGATGCAAGCATCATGACATGCTTGTGCTGTTGAACACTCACGAGTGACGAGTGCAACAGCTGATTGATAACGAAGCTTTCAGATCAAGTCAGCGGCCAGAGAAAAGTCCGAGCTTCCGCGTGAGCCATAGCCCATCTACTCTCAGAGAGCCCTGATCGAGCTGAACTATTGAGTCGACCCTCACCGTGCGAGTGCTTCCAGCACTTGCAGGGTTTATGGGGGTTTCCGAAAAAATTAGGGGTACCTTATTATTTGGGTCCTTATAGTAAGGATCCTAGTATTTAGGGTACGAGGGTCCCCTGTTTTCGGAAACTCCCATATAGTATACACGAAAATACAGTATGAGAATATAATAGTACAAAAATATAATATGACAGCAGAATACAGTAAACTGTATTATAGTATGGTATAGCCCAATAGTAGACTTTGGTATGCTATGTGGGTTTCAGGGCTTACATTCCTGTAGTAAAGAAGCCCGAAGGATGAGCCGCAGTGTACTCTTCCTTGTAGGGTTCCGAGATGGGAGTGTCCTAAAATAGGGGGCCCCAATATAGTACCTTAAATATTAGGATCCTTATGATAAGGACCCCCAAATCAGGAACCCTAATTTTCGGAACCCCCAGATAGTCTTAGTATACTATGCCCCGCAACCTTATCTAACTCTCAGACTTAGGCTGGGCGCAGGGCACCAGGGGTTCTTCTCATGGAGTTCGAAGTGCCACAACGGATGTGTTCGCACCTTGTTACAGAGTCAAACTAGGGCATGTTGTATACCATTGGTTGTCAATTCTTGGTGTACATAGGATGTGGGGCCTGTGTAGATTTCAGGCCTTTGGGGTCTGGCGTATCTCGTTCCGTGTTGATGGTGCATTTTCATCCCAGGCTCTCGGTGGAGAACGGCCTGCCGGCAGGCACGCTTCAAAGCAGCCACAGAAGGTGTTGGCGGGCTGCCGTAAGCCCCTCATTTGGTTCGGAAGCAATGGGTGGAGGTGGTGCTTCAAGCACAGGCTTTTAACCTTGTAGAGATGCAAGTTTTCTTGGCCTCCGTAGAGAAGAGCCGCTGTGAGGCATGAGTACGAAGCACGGAGCCGTTGCCGGCGACCCAGCTGGGGTCTCTCGCTGATGGAAGCCACAGCAGGTTTTTTTCCGGGCTGACGGAGGGTTGATGTCCCTTTTTGGTTTTTGATTTGGGTGGGTTCTATGGACATCGTAGTTTCGCTGGCCAACATGTTTCCATTCGATTTAGGGTTGGATTATGTTTCAGAAGGATCCCTCAACACAACCTAAGCTGCAGGACTCAACACAGCAGAGACCAGAAGCCTTCATCGCCATGCTCCAGAAATACACAGAAGCGGCAATGACAGAGGTGCGACAACCACATGGCCGGCACGGTTCGTCACGGCATAGCATAGGACTTTCTTACTCCTGAATGAGCCCTAACCCCCTCCTTCATACGATGGCAAAATATCCAAAGGAGCCCCTCCAATCAGAGACGCAACACTTCCCGCCACCGAAATGAATATGCATAAACACACCTCGGCCCTGCCTCGAAGCCGGGCCTCAATAAGGGCGTACCTCCTAAGGCTGCTGCTTTGGATCGTGTTGCCCTGGAGGCGCTTTTGAACACGGGGTTTGGGGCTTCGGGATGTTTGAGGTTTGGGGGTCCATGATGGTTTGCCTGAGCCTAAACCCCATGACGAGGCCGAAGCCTAGAGTCCACGGGAAAGTCGACGTTGCTCAAGCAAAAGGGATGTTCTGGGAGTTTCTACCTTGAAATATTGGCCCTGCTTCCCTTCCAAACGCCATCCTGCAAGCCTCACAATTTCTGCCAGGCGGCTGGGTGCGCCGCGCCCATGGAAAAGCTGAAGGTGCTCGGGCTTCAGGGCTTGAGGACTTCATGCTGCAATTGAATTTGGGTCCAGAAGAGATGGTATCAGCATTCCCTTACGTAGTCCATCAAACCCCCAGCTTATTCTGATGAATAATCCCTCAACTGGAAGAGAGGATGGTGGGCGCGGGGTGAGAGGGGGGGGGGCGGGGACAAATGGGGAAGGGACGGGATAAGGGTACCTACAATCAGTTCCTTCTATAGTTCTATAGGGCAGAAGGGTGGTGGCAACCGCAACTTCAGACTTTCGCAGCATGGCCCCCTCCCCCTACCTTGAGCATGAGAGTCGAAGCCCCAAATACTGAATTGCTACCAACTCACGCCGGAAACCGCGTTCGCCAGAGTCCAAACCCCGAAATTGCAGGTTGGGACCCGGCTTTCGGATAATTGCTTGCGCAAGATCGAGGGGTACCGCTGGCCCGCTTTGTGGATTTTGCGTTTCGCCCCGCGACAGCCTGGGGCCCCAAACCCAGGAGCCTGTGCAATCCATAGAAGGTCCCATTTCTCAACCCTAAACCGTGACCTAACCAAAGCCTTATATACTGCATACGAGATCAGCCCTGGGCCTCAAAACCTACAGTAGAAGCCAGAAAGTTGGATTATCATTATCATAATCCCTTCAAGGTAAAATATAGGGGATCCTGCCATTATTCCATATTCCAACTTTCTGGAGTTCCCTTTATATACTCCTTCAGCCCGCAGGCTCCTTTATGCCCCGAATCCGGCAGAATGTCTCTTACCCCAGCGCAGCGAAAGTCCGCACCGTAGCCTTTTAACCCCACATAACCAAAGCTGGCTACTTGTTGGCAGTAGGGTCTGGAAAAGCCAAGTACGTAAGGCTTAAAAGGGGCCCCACACAAAGGTTGGTTATGTCAGCGAGCTTCACCCTAAGCAAAGCAAGCTTCCGCAAGCCACCCAAACAAAAAGGGCCCCGAAACAAGAACGGCTGAGGCTTGGGGATTGTTTCTTAACCCTTTGCGCTAGGATGGCTGGTTTCCCTGACCTTCCGGCACTCGGGATAACGAGCTTAAAACAAAAGAAAACACGCTAAACCTTCTTAAACCCTAAGCGCAAACACAGTAGCAGTCCAAAGCCCAACGTCGTCTAGGCTTTAGGATTTAGGGTTTAGGTCGTCCCCATGAAAAGCCTGGTGTGCCAGGGCCTGTGGGACCCCGCGGCACTTCGCTCCGCCTTCGCGGAGCCCCGCAGCCGGTGCTAGGGGCGAAGGTAATGGGCACGTTCAGGATGCCCTTAAGCCTTGAGGGATCTAGGCTCTATAGGATTCTACAGAGGGGACTGACCACCATTATTCCGAAGGCTTCTTGATCATCCTTCTACTACAAAATAAGTACCCCCAAACCCTATTCTGGTAATTAAGGCACGTGGTGTTCTTGCAGTTCCGGGTCTATACGATCCGACCATAAGTATAAAGCCAGCCTTGCTGCGCCTGGGAGTTCTTCTTTCAACTTCGGAGTTTAGCACTGGCTACAAACCAGCGGTGTTATGTGTGCATGATGTGATGTTTTTCTGGTTCTTATTCTTTGGCAAGGGGTGTCATGGCTTACAGTCTTCGAGCCGAGTGGATTCGGAGGTATGTGATGTGTTGACTACTTACTTATGCTTGCATGGCAGCATGTTGTCCTTCAGGCTTTCAGGCGTACCTCAAGCCCCAAACCTAGACCTGGAACATGGTAGGCCATGACCCCGTAGGTCGTGGGTATTGACCTTTAACCCAGTGCAGTAATCCGCGTCGAAGGCTCCATCAGCTACGGTTTAACACACATGCCAGCAAAGTATTCGCAACGAAATCGAGAACGATTTGTCGTGGAGTTCTGTCTCCACTTATCACAGCGAGTCGCGGGTGAGGCAAGTCCACCACCTGTACTGGCTCACAAGAACCCGAAACCCCAAAACAAGCATTCGTTTTCCCCTGGTGGCCTTCCTGATTTTGCCCAAGCCACACCCAGAAAACCTCACGAAACCTCAGTCCTAGAATCCCAGAACACCAACACTTTCCCTAGAATCGCAAAACACCAGCACTTTAATTTGAGGCAGTCTTCTTCTTCCCCACCTCACAAGAGTGCTTTTCCAGCGGCTTAGGCCGGAACGAGCCTGAGGAGAAGAAGCCCGTCATGCCGGGAGCCTCCGGTACTACTACCTAGTAGTCGAGTAGGTAACCTTTAACATTTTCTTGGGGTAGTATAGTCCCTAATATAACCCCTACATAACCAAGAAGGTTAGCCTTTAGTTCCCCATGATACCCGACAAGTAGGTCTTAAAGGCTCTGAGGACCCACATGTGAGAGGTCTTGGGCCGAAACGCCACCGTATATAAGATATCTGAAGTATTTCGAGCCATAGGTGTCGGAGTTTAGGGTTAGAGATTTGAGAAGTTTTTGCTGGTGCAGGATGCAACAATAGTGGCATAGTGTGATTTGTGGTACTACGAAGTCGCTGCTTTTACGTCCGATGCACCATCCTGTTTCGTCCATGTTACCTTGGAGCTGAGCTTGGAGCTTTCCCTCGACACTTCCCAGCAAAGGCTGAAACGGTAGAAGCATGCGACGGTGCGAGCACATTAAAATTTGGCATCACAATGAGGCCACCCATGGAAGAACCAGCCAGGAAGTGTACAAGATTCAGACGATATGACTTTGACCGACCCCAAACCCACCATCAACACGTACTGCGGCTGTCGTTGAGATTCTGCATCTGGTGTCAAGCAGTTGAGATCCGAGACTTCTTAGACAACAGAGGACATGTGAGAACAGTGATTTGTGGCTTGAGGCATGTTTGCACGGATGCGCATGCCAAGTCACAGGGCAGATGAACATGATGAGTGAAACGACTGTGGATAAAACCACGAGGTGAAAACCAAACAACTCATTGTGATCGTCGGGCCACTGTCGCCATCCCACCAGAATCACGCTGCATCCCCGCAACACCAGCACCACTGTCTCCGTCATCTTTGTCACGGTTATCGGTTGCGGCATCTTGACCATGGTCCGATATGTAGTGGCAAAGATGAGATCACCACTCTGCAAAAAGGAAATGGCGGCCGAAAGTAACGAACGGCCTGGGCCCCGGCAAGTGGCAGTCCGGGGACCGTCGCGATTAAGACCGTTGTTCCACAGTTCACCCCCAGGCCCTAGGCTCTGCACCCCTAGACCCTCCTTGCCGTTTGGAGTGTATAGTTTTTGTTGTGGTTCTGTGTCCCCAAGAACTGACTTCGATCATTTCGCGGTACCTCCAGTGCCTCCTCGCTGCAACTGCACTTCCGTCCCTGCCGCTGTTATTATCAACGGCGGGTCTCCTACTTGTTTGAAGCTTGTGCCGAGAGCGCAGATTGAGGTTGAGGCACAGGGGGCTTTGCAAAGCTCTGCGAAGCCTTCGCTCCAGATACTCCAGCACCAGAGACCGAAAGAAGCCGACACACATCCGACAGCGCTTAAGTCCTCAAATCTGAAGCCGACACCGCAACAATATGGCCGAGAAGCCTGAATGCAGACCCTCACCTTGCCTCACCTGGACCCTACGAAACCGATTTGTTTCAGTATGCTAAGTACCTCTAAGCCTCCGGGTCGAGCCGTGTGGCCCCCACCCCAAAAAAGCATGAGAGGTGGCGTACCCGGTTTGGAGCTGGCCGGTGCCCGGCTTCGTGCTCAGGGCTTTGGAGTATGTACGCCTCCTGGTTCTTGGCTTTCTAGATAGTGTTAAAGGGCAGACTTTGCTTTTGGTAGGCGAAGGATCCTATTACTCTACGTCCCTGGCGCTCTCGCTTATGGCTTGATGCTGGCTTCTTTCATGGGAATCTTCCGGCAATCGATTACAATCTTTTTTCCTGGCCTCCGGCCCAGAGCTCCATGGAAAATACCAGCTTTTCTGGCATTTAGGGATCAGGGTTTTGGCTTTCGGGCTCGATGATTTAGGGTTTTATGCCGGGAAGGGAGCTGCTTTATGCCGCGAGTCCTGGCGATCAGGATCCTTCCGTGGGCTCTGTACTAGGTTCCCATCTGTTTTGATAGTTGCATGTGTGGGTGGACTCCAAAAGAAAAGCAAGCTACAGTGACAGATCAACAGTTTGGGCTCTAGGTTCCGGGTTAGGGGTCCAGAGGAGGGCGTGATTGCTTTGCCGCAATCCCATCTTGGCGGAAGTGCTTGGCACGTGGTGCGTGCGTGTGTTTGTGTGTGAGTGTGTGTGTGTGTGTGTGCGCGTGTGCGTGGGTGTGTGTGATGGTTCCAGTCTTTGTGGGAGGGGTCGACCGCGAGCTGGTTGGATGCCGTTTGTGGTTGGAGCCCATGAATCGCCACAGACCCCCAATCGGCTTATGTCTCATCTTGAGATGTTTCGGCAGTTTCTTGGCTTGGAACTGCTGTGTCATGAAGGCGCATCTGGATGCCTTGTATTCTTTCCATGACCATCCTGCTTGTCATGTGGATGTTTGACCATTCAGTCTGGCGCTGCTTTGTTCGAGCTTCCGTAGTCCGGCATCGGGAACCTAGGAGTTTTCAGGGTGTATCAAAATGCTGCAGGAGGGGACTCGCGCACCGCTATGAGGGTGTAATGTAGGCTTTAGGCTAGTCTGACTTTCATGGTCATTTCGTTATACGGTTGTCCGTAGTGGAATGAAACTGTAGCATACCCCAAGCCCTGTTACGATATGAACGCCCCTTCAGTGGTTCAGTTTAGCTTTTCAGGGAGTGGGTATAATGTAATGCTACATCCCAAAGCCTATACTGCACTCCAAGACCCTCAATCTAGAACCCCCTTGAATCGAAGAAGATGCCCAGGCGGGCCCGTGCCGCCTGCGCCCGCTCGGGGTTCAACGTCGGGGACCCTTGCCTTTAGAGTGGGGCGTGGGTGGAACACCTTGTTCCAACTACTCCAGCCAGAACCATCCTTTAACCTGAACCCTCAGGGTCCATGTACCCATATAGCATATACTTTGGGCCCAATGTACCAATATAGGGAGTACTTTGAGGCCTACGTATATACTAGATGAGTACATGGACCCTTACAAACAGGAAGCTCTACAGCAAAAGGCCCTTCGCCCTAAAGCCACGCAAGTGAGGCCTTGAACTTAGATCCGAAATTCCGAAGGCCTCTGGGATCCGAAAGGAACCGCTCGGATCTCCATCTTCGCGGTCGGCAACTAAAACCGCTTCAATCCAAAACTCAAAGCTCAGGATTCCTCATATCAGTCTCATACGACTGTAACAGATTGTGTTTTATTATTATGCTATAGTGCGGATCGCCCGGGGAGTCGTGGGTTCAGGGACCTCCTTCGAAACCCGAAGAGTCGACACACTAAACTATCAAAGCGGCCCGGCTTTCCCTATATGCACCTCCTCCTAATAGGTTTGGAGCCTGAGTTTGGGTTCTCTTTGCTGTGCCCAGGGCTTGCCCAAAGCGCCGCCGCGGTGGCAGTTCTGATCTTTTTCAGCGGCCTGGGATTGGAGAGAACAAGAGCTCTAAGCTGTAAAAATCTCTAGGACCTACACTCCACCAGTGCAGACTTGAGATTTTGGTTCGCAGGCACTCCCAGACACAGGATGTTTGAAAGATAGGTTCCTCAAGCTTTTCCACCGTCTAGTGCCCCGATACACCCCCCTTGCCAGCCCAGTCTACTCCTTATCTACGGATGATGAATCTTGAAGCATGTTTCTCATGCAACCTTCACTATATTTCTCGTTTCATGTGTACAAATCTGTGGTGGAGTTGTATAGGAGCCTAAATTCCAAATTGTTAGAAGACGATTCCTTTGGTTCCCTCATCTAAATCATGATGAGTTAGGTGTACTTGTCCTTGGCTAATGGGTATTGGTTCTTGACTGCCACGTGTCCCTGCCATACGACATAATTAATCTAAAGGATATGAAAGGAATTTTTCCCCAGACCGAGCGAGAGAGAGAGAGAGAGAGCAGGCTTGTGGACTTAAATGCTGGTTGCTGATGGTTTTCAGGTTTATGTAAGTCCTTCAATTCGGTCGGATAGCAGAGTTTGGTATCAAGCAAGCTGGACAGCTACTTGTAGGCTGAGGCCCTGAAGCCCGAACTGCCCGAAAGCCTCGGCACCTTGTCAACATCTTGGGTACGGCCCCCACTCAGTAACAGTTGGATAGTATTCATAATATAGATATATAAGGCCCTCAATAGTAGCCCTATTATAGACTGTTACTGTATGGGGGCCGTACCCAATCAACATCCTTTCCAATCCACCTACATCTACGTCATTGCTCACATGAGTTTGAGCGTTTGGGGCTCGACACCTGATGCCGAGGTCAAGACAAAGGGTTTGACATAAGGCGGCTTGCATTTTCTGCTTCTTCAGGGTTTATGGTATGTATGGCAGAAGGCACCTAAAGCATTTTTGGGGTTCAGGGTTCTTAGGGATACCCTAGGCAGCTTGCGGCGAGTATTTTCGGAGGTGTTTTTGTCACATGTGGAGCTTCCCAACTCGTAAACACTTCAAGTCTGTGTCTCGGAATTTAACATTTCGGGTTTCTGAGTTTGGCCGCCAACCGGTCCCTTGGCAAGGGTTCTTCTTTAACCCGCTCCAATCAGGCACCCATGTTCTGGGCCAACCCCCTTATGGAGGAATTTCGGGGTGCCGCTGCGCACCTCTGCGTCAGGAGCCATATCGTCGCTTTTGGCCCCCGTGGGGAAGCCTCCAAGACGAAGACTAAACGATCTGCTGCACCTGCAGGTTCTGAAAGTTTGAGTTGCCTACCTGTTACAAAGCTTTTGCAAGGATCCCACAGAAGCGTTCCTTAATTCCCTGAACTTCCCATAGGTCCTGCGCATCACCCGGCCGGGCCGATCGGTTCTCAACGGGGACGTTAACATTGATTGAAATCTAAAGTCTCCAAACACTCCCAATCAGGATCAGTCTTGTGAGGCGAAAATTGTTTTGTGGGGTTTGGGACTGTCCAGATTGGGTTATTATGATGCCCCTGCTCAGTAGCTTAGTAAGGTTATGTTAAGGGCAAGAAGGAACCCTAATGTAGTTGCCTGGAGTCTAGATCGTAGCCCCGGAGGACAGGAGCCCTATCTTCCTCAAGTTCAAAGTCCAAAAGCCTGGCAGACGGACCAAAGCTAAGCTTTCACAAAACCCTACCCAAAAAAGCCCGAAAGCCTTCCACTCCTCCGTTTCTGAAGGCTTCCTCCAGGGTCCTGTGTGGGTAGCTCCCTGGACTGGCAAGGCATAGCGGATCGGCAGAAGAGTACGTCACCCTCGGAAGAGAAATGCCCCCCCGAATCCGAGAGCTCCTCGGATACTAGCACCCCGAAATCCAGATCCAAAGCCTGAAATCCCAAACCCCAAAGCCTGCAATCCTAAAAAGTCACAAAGCTAAGAGGAAGGACCCAGACCTGTGGGAGCTACCCACATGGGAGCTAACACCCGGGAGCCTCCAAGAGGTCACCGGTAGAGCCATGGTCAATGTCAGCCGCATCCGGCTAGAGGTGTCGGGCGTAGAAGTTGTAGGGTTTTTGTTGTTTGGTGGAGTCGGGAGGAGGGTGGGGGGGGAGGTTGTTTAAGTGCCTCCTGTGATTTTGCGTGTGGAAAGCACGGTGTTTGTTCGTCCTCGTACATCGTACAAGTACTTGGGGAGAAGCATTCTGACCATGCTCCGGAATCCCACCGATCCTTCGGGGAAGCCTTGCAGGTATGTTCTGGTGTTTTTTAATCGGTCGTGCTCGTCATGTCTGCACCGGCTCTCATTCTGTACTCGAGGTGTTCTTTCTATGCAGTGTACTATTCCATTCAAGTCTAGTCTGACCGGGGGTAAATTTGATGAGGTCCAGAGGCCGCATAGATTTGCGGAGCTTGCGATGGGCACCACGCCATCCTACGAATCATTCGCAGGGCGAGCAATGACTTGTCATGCGCATGTCGTTGATGATGATGAGGAGGAGGGTGATGACACTTATGATTGTCATGGTGCTGACGCTGATTGCGAGGATGATGTCGAATATAGCAGAAGCAGGAAGCCAAAGCCTCTGCTCTACTCCAAGAGTTGGTTCCAGTATGGCTATCATGTTCTACTATCTTTCTAGACCCTGCATCCTACCCATAGCCCCAAACCCGAAAGCATAGTAGGCGTTGAAGCCCTATTACGCCTGAAGTAAGCTAATGGCACACAGTTGGAATGCAAAAAAGGTCCGACAAGGCAAGTCCTACAAGACTTCTGCCTGCACCCACCGGCACTGCAGCCTTTCTCCTACAGCTGTGAAGAGCTGGAAGTCGACCCAAAGTTGCGTCGAGCCGGGCGAAAGGAACGAACGAGGGTGTACTCGTTGCTTCATCGGGAGAGGTCAACCTTCCGTTTGCGGACAGCTGCTCTAGGAATCGGCTCTGAAAATGAGCCATGTCCTCTTCTGTGTTCCTACCTAATGTATGTCTAACTCCAGAGGCCCTGGCAGGGTTTTAGGCCCGCTTGTCCCGGCTGAGAAAAGTCTCTGCAAGATCACTGAAACTTGTGGACTCGTCCTGGCTCAAGCGCTTGGGGATGTGTTTGTTTCATGTCAGCAGAAGATGACGTGTCATGTGTTTGCTGTATCGCAATCAGTCTAAACCCCAACAGCTGTAGTATCAGAATAGCGCTGAGAAAGCCCATCTCATGTCACAAGCCCACTCGATGCAGACAGACATCACAGGTACTTACCGCCTTCGTGATTCTAAGCTTGACAACATGGGATCTTGGTACGGCTTTAACCCTAAACCCTAAAGCATCCGTCGCGCGTCACCCGTCGTAGAGTGGTGGGCTCAGCTGACATCTCACGAGTGTTTAGGTTTGGGGTTCTCGGGTGTTCACTAATGTTCATGGTCGGGGAGTTTTTTGGGCTGCAGGTTTAGTGCCGGTAGCCTGAGGAAGGCTTCCCTCTCATACGTGTTGATCTTGAGGATCCTAGCGGAACAAGTTAAACCCGAAGCTGTCAATCGAAACACCGCAATGCACGAAACCTGAATACGGAAGCCTTTATGCGCATATGCCCTGATATTGTGAAGCTGCTCCTAGACCGCCAGACATAGTTCGCCCCCCCCCCAAGACTCTGAGCCTCAAGGCCCCAAATTCTAAGTTCCCTTTGGTTTCCGGGATCTTTACATCCGCGCCCAAAAAGGGTCCCAGAGGTCTCAGCCTTTGCCGCTTGAGTGCCGAGCCGCTCGCAGCGATGGCTTTGGATCTTAGCACTTCGGCTGCAGTGCACGAGCCGGGATTCGGTCAGCACGTAGATCTACTACTGTACTAGGCACGGGTCAAAATATTTTACAAGCATCTATTGCTACGTACATGCAGGGGCCGGGGCTCGGGGTTGACCTTTCAGTCTCTTGTTTTGGCGTTGAGGTCGGGGCATCCCGAGGTTGAAGCGTCTACTAGACTTCCTTGCGATTTTTGCGGCTCTCTGAGCTACGAACGCTGCCTCGACCTCCCATCGAGGCTTTGCAAAGCCACCAGGGACAGAAGGTTTATATATATATATATATATATATATAAATTAATATGTATTTGTTAAGCTTAATCGCTTTCCCCATGTATTAAACACCCCCTCCAAAAAAATGAACACAATGTGGGGCCAATCCTCCCGGAATCATTCCTGCCCTTCTGGCCATTCAGGCCAAATTTGCCTTCGGAGGTCCGGCGCAAAAGCAACAGCAACAGTAAAATCTAGAGCCGGTGTAAGCCTGTAAGCCTCGTAAGAGCAAGAGCAGGAGCATGTGCCAAAGAAAGAGCCGGAGCAAGAGCAACAGCAACACTAAAATCAACAGCACAGCAAGCGTAGGAGGAAGAGCGAGAGCAGGAGCAGGAGTAATAGCAAAAGCCACGGCAAGAGCAAAAGCACGAGCTCAGAGAAGGAGCGAGAGCAAGAGATTCAGCAGGAGCAGGAGCAGACGCCAGCGCGGGCGTTAGAGCCAGAGCAGTTCTCAAAAGTGATAGTAGAGATAGAGACACCCGTGAATATTGCAAGCACGTTCCGAGTTCTTGTTGGGGTACGGGCCGGAGCCTGCAATGACAGTATTGACCCTGAATAATATACAGCCCCCTCCCTGCATGCTATAATGAGTAGGTCTACTCTTGAGTTGCTTCGAGAAGGGGGCTGGGTACGCGGCGGTCAACATTGCCCGCAAACCAGACAAGCCCGTGAAACGTTGTACCCCTCCAAACCCAGCTCTGGCTAAAAGCGGCTCAAGCTCTCAACCTTAAGCAGGACACGCTCAACGGTCCTGGTCAGCCCCTTGTTTGAGCCCCTGCAACATCGCAAAGCTTTAAGCTCTTGAGCCAAGAACCCTAACCTCGCCAGGCTTGTCCTAGTTGCGAGTGCTGAAATCCTAAAGCACTCCGAAGCCCTTGGCAGCAAGCGGCCCCGGAGGTGAACGAAACGACATGTCAGACAAGCTGACGTGCGGGCCTGTGTGACTGTCGGTTCCGTTGGG